CTATCCAGCAAGGCTATCATTCAAACTTGAAGGGGAAATAAGAAGCTTCACAGACAAAAAAAGGCTAAGGGAGTTTATCACCACCAAGCCAGCAATGCAAGGAATGCTAAAGGGACTGGTATAAAAATAAGAAATAAAAAGCTCAGAAAGAAAACAGCCACACAAAAACAGAAATGCCTACAAACAAGTACCTTTCAATAATAACTTTAAACGTAAACGGACTAAATGCTCCAAACAAAAGACATCGAGTGGCTGAATGGATAAAAAAACATGACCCATACATCTGATGTCTACAAGAAACCCACCTCATTAGAAGGGACTCACACAGACTGAAAGTGAAAGGTTGGAAAAATATCTTTCAGGCAAATGGAAAGGAAAAGAAAGCTGGGGTAGCAATACTTATATCGGACAAAATAGACCTCAAAGTGAAGGCCATAACAAGAGATAAGGAAGGCCACTTCATAATACTAAAGGGATCAATACAACAAGAAGATATAACCCTGGTAAACATATATGCACCCAGTGCAGGAGCACCCAAATTCATAAAAAAACTCCTGGAAGATATCAAAGGAGACATCGACAACAATACAATCATAGTAGGGAACTTTAATACACCACTGACAGCACTGGATAAGTCCTCTAGACAAATAATCAGCAAAGATACAGCAATCCTAAATGACTCACTAGATCAGATAGACTTAATAGACATCTTCAGAACACTTCACCCGAAAGCCAGGGAATATACATTCTACTCAAATGCTCATAGGACATATTCAAAAATAGACCATATATTGGGTCACAAGCAAAGTATCCCCAAATTCAAGAAAATTGAAATCATAAAAAGCGTCTTCGCAGACCACGATGGCATAATATTAGAAATAAACTACAATAAAAACAACCCAAAATACTCAAACACCTGGAAGCTGAATAGCATGCTATTAAATATTGATTGGGTTACCAATGAAATCAAAGAAGAAATTCGAAACATCCTGGAAACTAATGACAATGAAAACACAACAATCCAAAACCTATGGGACACAATGAAAGCAGTCCTGAGAGGGAAGTTTATAGCTCTACAGGCCTATCTCAAAAAACAAGAAAAAAATGGTAGTAAATCATCTAACTCTACAACTCAAAGAATTAGAAAGAGAGCAACAAGAAAACCCCAGAGTGAGCAGAAGGAAGGAGATAATAAAGATTAGAGCAGAAATAAATGACATAGAGACCAAAAAAACAATACAGAAAATCAATGAAACCAAGAGCTGGTTCTTTGAAAGGATAAACAAGATTGACAAACCTCTAGCCAGACTCACCAAGAAGCAAAGAGAGAGGACCCAAATAAACAAAATCAGAAACGATAGAGGCGAAATAACAACAGACCCCACAGAAATAGAAATGATTGTTAAAAAATACTATGGACAGCTCTACTCCAACAAACTAGACAACCTGGAGGAAATGGACAAATTCCTAGAAAAATACAACATTCCAAAACTCAATCAGGAAGAATCTAAAAATCTCAACAGGCCAATAACTATGGAAGAAATTGAAGCAGTCATCAAAAAGCTTCCAGCAAACAAAAGCCCAGGACCAGACGGCTTCACAGGGGAGTTTTACCAAACATTCAAGGAAGAACTAAAACCTATCCTCCTCAGACTACTACAAAAAATTCAAGAGGAAGGAACACTTCCAAGCTCATTCTATGAAGCCAGCATCACCCTAATACCAAAACCAGGTAAAGACAACACAATGAAAGAGAATTACAGGCCAATATCCCTCATGAACATAGATGCCAAAATCCTCAACAAAATCTTAGCAAATCGGATCCAGCAGTACATCAGAAAGATCATACACCATGACCAAGTAGGATTTATCCCAGGGATGCAAGGATGGTACAATATCCGCAAATCAATAAACGTGATACATCACATAAACAAATTGAAAGAAAAAAACCACATGGTCATATCAATTGATGCAGAAAAAGCATTTGACAAAATTCAACACCCATTTTTGATAAAAGCTCTCAGCAAGGTGGGAGTAGAAGGATCATACCTCAACATAATAAAAGCCATATATGACAGGCCCACAGCCAACATCATACTCAATGGACAAAAACTAACACCATTTCCCTTAAGAACAGGAACAAGACAGGGATGCCCCCTCTCACCACTCCTGTTCAACATAGTACTGGAAGTGTTAGCCATTGCAATTCGACAAGAAGAAGAAATAAAAGGCATCCAAATTGGAAAAGAGGAAGTAAAACTGTCCTTATTTGCAGACGACATGGGAATGCAGACTGGTGCAGCCACTATGGAAGACAGTATGGAGTTTCCTTAAAAAACTGAAAATGGAACTCCCATTTGACCCTGTGATCCCACTTCTAGGAATATATCCCAAGAAACCAGAAACACCAATCAGAAAGGATATATGCACCCATATGTTCATAGCAGCACAATTCACCATAGCTAAGATCTGGAAACAGCCTAAGTGCCCATCAGTAGATGAATGGATTAGAAAACTGTGGTACATCTACACGATGGAATACTATGCTGCTCTAAAAAGGAAGGAACTCTTACCATTTGCAACGTCATGGATGGAACTGGAGAGCATTATGCTAAGTGAAATAAGCCAGTCAATGAAGGAAAAATACCACATGATCTCACTCATTCATGGATAATAGAGACCATTATAAACTTTTGAACAATAATAGATACAGAGGCAGAGCTGCCTCAAACAGATTGTCAAACTGCAGCAGGAAGGCCGGGGAGGGTTGGGGGGCAGGAGGTAGGGGGGTAAGAGATCAACTAAAGGACTTGTATGCATGCATATAAGCATAACCAGTGGACATAAGACATTGGGGGATAGGGGAGGCTAGGGGACTGTCTAGGGCGGGGGGATAAAATGGACACATATGTAATACCCTTTGTAATACTTTAAGCAATAAAAAAAAATAAAAAATAAAAAATAAATAAAAAATAAAAAAAGAGGTGCCCCCTAAAGGGAAGGGAGAGCTCCTTCTGCCTTATTCTCGGGACCTTGGGGTGTCACCTGATTCTCTTCGAGCACCCACCACACCTGTCACACAGCCCTTCAGGGAATTGCTAAATGAAGCCATTCCTTAATGCTAAGAATTACATGGTGATGCTCTCACTCCTGCTCAACAGGCGGACCCTGCTCCACCATCCCCGGCCCTGAAAGTCACACCCTCCACCTCACCAGCCTATCCAACTCCCCGGGTTCCCAGGAGCGAGTGGGCAGGTCGGCCGGCGCTCAGTGGGAGGCCAGGGGTTAGGACAGAGGCCAGGCTAGAAGCCCCACCCGCCACACACATCACAGAAGGATGTAAGATGCATGCATATTTGCAATAAGAAAATTTTGGAGACCATTTCTATGCCCATCAGCAGGGACGAGCAGACCACATCCATCCCTTGGTGGCATCTGTGAAGCCCCATGAGGATTAAAGAGGCTCTTTCTATACTATCTATAATAATAAAAGCATGATATGCTAATTAGATCAGAAGTCCTTCTGGATGACCTTCTGGACGAAGCTGGGGCTGCAAGGGAAGCCAGGGTCCCGGGTGCCTGCTGGTGGCTGGAGGGAAGCCCAGGTCCCGGGTGCCAGAGGGAAGCCGGAGCCAACAGCTGGGGGAAGGAAGGCCTTCTCTTGAAGGAATTCCATGCTTTGGGCCTCTAGTTAGACCATAATATCCAAAGTATTTTTATAGTGTAAAAAGCAAGGTAAGGACGGTGTTTTGTAGGCTACCAGCTGTGGAAGTGGGGCTGGGGTATATGAGATGGGAGCACACATATTGCTGGAAAAACCTCAAGTTGTTCCTGGGAGAGGAACTGGGGGCCTGGGGGCGAGGCTGGAAGAAGTACCTTGTGTCAGAATACTCCCTGGCTCATTTGCATTGGGTGCCATGTGCAAATTCACGTTTGTAAGGCCCTCACCCTCCAATGGCTCAGAGGTACACTTGCCACCCAGGCTGCTCTTCTATGGGGTCAGCTCCCTCCCCCTAGTTCAGTGGTTTTCAACCTTCCTAATGCCCTTTAATACAGTTCCTCATGTCGTGGTGACCCCCAACCATTAAATTATTTTTGTTGCTACTTCATAACTGTAATTTTGCTACTGTAAACAATATGTAATTATATATGTGTTTTCTGATGGTCTTAGGCGACCCCTGTGAAGGGGTCATTCGATCCCCAAAGGGGTCGCGAGCTCAAAAGGTTCGCCATCACTGCTCTAGGATGTTAAAAGCTGGGCAGGCAGCACGTGGAAGTAATGATGAGCTTTCTAACAGGACAGAACTGCACGGTCTACATTAGAACAGGCCACACAGGTGCCCTGAGAAAGATGGTGGCAACGGACCGCGGGTGGGAGGTTTCAGACATGACCTGCAGCCAACTTGGCTCCAGCATTTTGTGGTTGTTGTTAATCCTCATCCGAGGACATTTTTTCCTGTGATTTTTAGAGAGAGTGGAAGGGAGGGAGGGAAGGAAAGAGAGAGAGAAACATCCATATGAGAGAGACGCATTGAGGGTTGCCTCACATAAGCACCCCAACCGGGGCCAGGGATGGAACCCGCTACCCTTGTATGTGCCCTTGACCAGGAATCAAACCTGAGACCCTTTGGTGCTCTAACCACTGAGAACACTGGCCGGGGCCTGGACTCTACTCTGAAAAATCATTTCCAAAACCTGACCCCAGAACCCAGAGGATGGCAAACTAACACCTCAATGTCAACCCCAGGGCATTAAACATTTATTACCCCAAAGATACAAGAGAGCACCACATTTTTTAAAATATACTTTATTGATTTTTTGCAGAGTGGAAGGGAGAGGGATAGGGAGTCAGAAACATTGATCAGCTGCCTCCTGCTACTGGGGATGTGCCCACAACCAAGGTACATGCCCTTGACCGGAATCGAACCTGGGACCCTTCAGGATGCAGGCCGACACTCTATCCATTGAGCCAAACCGGTGAGGGCCAGAGCACCACATTTTTAACAAGGGTGAAGGGTCTGTAACCTTTTTTGTTTCACGGTCTTGCGACTGCAAAAATTATACCTGCGGAGGAGAACATGTTCCGGGTGAGGCTTGGCAGCTTGTGAAAATGTCACCTCAGGTGAGTAAACAGTGTTTAGCCAAACTCTGGAATTCAGGCCTTTTTGCCTGGAAGGCTCGTCTGCACAATGCAGAGTCCAGGTGGTTCTTACTAAGCAAAATCACTTAAAGAACACCCTCTCCTCCTATGGCCTTTAACAAGCTAAAAGTGAATCAGCTGTGTCAGACCACAGATTTTTTTTCAAAATCTGTGACTTTGGGTGGGCCTGGCATTGAATTTGGGGACTGGGGTGCCCCCACCTGCCAAGAGGGGACTTTCCCTAGAGTTCAGAACCTGGGGGGTTCTTCATACATTGCTTCTGGGAAGGGAAAATGTGGCAGCCACTTTGGAAAACAGACTGGCAGTTCTTCTAAAGGTTAAACATAGTAGTTACCACATAACCTAGCAATTCCGCTCCTAGGTATGTACCCAAGAGAAATGAAAACATATGTCCACACAAAAACTTGTACATAAATGTTCACAGCAGCATTATTCATAATAGCCCCAAAGTGGTAACATGCCTGATGTCCATCAACTGCTAAATGGATAAATAAAAGGTGGTATATCCATATAAGAGAATATTATTTGGCAGTAAAAAGGAATAAAGTACTGATACATGTCACAACATGGATGAACCTTGAACATATTATGCTATGTGAAAAAAGCCAGTCACAAAGGACTATAAATATTGTCCTTTTATATGACATGTCCAGAATAGGAACATCTATCCAAATAGAAAGCAGGTTGCCCAGGGCTGGAGAAAAGGGGTGGGAGGTTATGGGATGATGGCTGATAGGTGTGGGTTTTTTGGGAAGGGGGATGAAATGTTCTAAAATTGACCTTAGAAATGATTCCACAACACTGCACATATACTAAAAATCACTGAAGTATATACTTGAAATGGGTGAACACAGGCTATGAAATTATATCTCCATAGAGATGTTGGGGGGAAAGACCATGGAGGGATGTCACTCCTGAAGAGGGTGAAGGCCGCCCAGTTGGGGCAACAGCCCAGCCATGAGATGCAGGAGACCTGGCCGCCTCCTTTCCTGTGGGCGTCTTTGCTAAAGACGAGCCTCCCTCAGGGCTCAGCTGCAGAATGTGGCTGGATTGGAGGACAGAGGACTGGGGTCCAAGTCCTGGTCATGCTTCAGGCTCAAGCTCTGCTCTTGAATAAACAAAGTACTGGCACAGACCCAGTGACCTCTGACCCTTCCAGCACCACGCCCAGGAATCAGGCCTATGACCATGTACTGTCAGGACAGCTAAGTCATGCAGCTGAGCAAGGTCTTCCTATATGTTTTTGAAAATAGTTTGCAAAGACTCTTCCCTCTGGCTTTCCTGGGTGGCCTTAGACACGTTATGTGACTCTGGGAACCCCACTCTTCTCACCTTAACATGAGAGCAGTTGAGAGGTGATCTCTGAGTTTCCTTCAGACCCTGACATCCATTGTTTTATATCATCCTCCTTTAAGGCCGCCTTTTTTCTTGCCATATTGTAAACACTGTTATGTTCTCTCCCTACTCTCACCAAGTAAGATTCTATCCTCTCAGCAAGAGAAGAGCTTGCCACTGGGAGCTAGATCCTCACACAGTCTGTATTCCTCTCAGGCCTCAGTCTCCAAACAAAACAATTTGTATGAATAAATGCACCCAATGGAAATAAACCCGAGATTTCCTACAGCTACTGCCCAGGTGCTTTCCTTCTTGTTTGGGATAAAACAGAGTCTCCTATTGGCCTGTTTCTTGAACGTATGCCTTACAATTGACATCTTGCTCTGGCCAAGTTGAATTTGTCTTAAGGAAAACGATAATTGATTTTTCCAAGTAAATTAGATGGATAGATGGAAAGATGCAGAGTTGAGAGGAATAGTTGGGTAGATGAATGGCTGCATGGATAAGTGCATAGGTCAATGATTAAGTGGATGGAGAGAAAGGGGTGAAGGACTAGGTAGGTAGAAGGATATGTAGGTAGATGGGTGGGTGATTGAATGTATGCATGCATGTTTGCAGAGATAGATTGATAAGGAAATACAGAAACAAGACTTAGGTGCAATGAAAGATACTCACTTAGTCCCATATTCTCCACTTTGCACTGTGATTTTCGAAGCCCCCAGTTTGTACCATAACAGATTTAGCCAACGTTTTCTCCAGAGGAATTTAACCTTCTGGATTTTTCCAACGTTGATATCCACATCAATGTCACGCACATGTTTTGCATCAGGTTTGAGGGATCCTCTGCAAACATAGACATAAAGTGTTCTATCAGCTGGATAGATGAATTCTAGGGTGTGAGCAACCTGTTGTTACTCCAAACAATGGCTGCTGCTGTTGGCTTTCTGCAATTCCCTTCACTGCCTCCATACACATCCAGGGTCACTAAAAAAAAATCTTATCTGTGAAGAACACACCTTTAGAATAATAGTGGACTCTAGATTTCCACTGTCTTGATTGATACCTAGAGGGAAGTCAACTACTTGGGCAGCATATTGACTCTTTAATTTCACTGAAGGACTCGTTATCTTTGTTTATAGATGCATTTGCTTCTGCCGGGGTCATCTGTGGGCATCTCATATGTAGCATAACAAGTAGTCAAAGAACTTTAACTTAACATGAAAATTATTATGCAAACTTAGTGCAAAACAGAATCTAATTTTACAGCACAGTTATCCAACACATTGTACCAAGCACCTCATATATCCACAAGAGCTAGGAGCTGAGGCTACCATAGCAACAGGAAGCTAGCTTCAGGCTTCAGGTGCAACACAGCAGGAATGGAGGCTGGGGTATGTGTGTGGGATGCGAAGGAGTTGCCATATAAATGTGCTTTGTCTAAGGAGAACATGATATTCATAAAACTTAAGCAGGGCCTGGCTGGTGTGGCTCAGTGGTAGAGTGTGGACTCATGAACCAGGAGGTCACAGTTCAATTCCTGGTCAGGGCACATGCCCAGGTTGTGGGTTTGATCCCCAGTAGGGGGTGTGCAGGAGGCAGCTGATCAATGATTCTCTCTCATCATTGATGTTTCTCTCTTTTTGTCTCCCTTCCTTTCTCTGAAATAAAATTTTTAAAAAATTTAAAAACAACAACAACCCCATAACTTCAGCAGGAAGGAAGCAGTGATTGGCAATCCAGAAGGAGTCAGCCTTTAATATCGTGAGTGCTTCCTCTCTGGGCCTCCCTCTTCTCCTATGGGGTGATTGAATTAGATGCTAAGAGACTTCCTTCCGGCTCTGACATTCTAGGATTCAAAGGTTCTGTTTGGCTAGATGTATGTAGAAGTTTACACCCAATCTTGTATTAATAATCTATTAGGGAAAGTATGGTCATTTCGCTATACTATCAAACTTACTTGAAAATTTCATATTGCTTTGAGTTTCCATTACTTCCATATAAAGCAATCCATGATGGACCCACTCATTTCCTTTTTTCCAGCGAGTGTGACTGATACCTTGTATCTCCAACCTGTGCAAAGAAAAGATACTGTCAGTTCAATGAACTCATCTTGTTGGAAAAAAAATGACCCATGGGAACATTCTTGTTCCAAGCTCTGAATCCCCCATGAGTGGGAGGTAGGGACGAGTGTAACGAATGGTTTCCTTCAATGCAGTTGGGGGTCCCTGGAATTCTGATGCTAGGTGCGGTGAGGGACTCAGGGGGAAGTAAATATTGCAGCTCAGCATAATCTCTTGCCAATTCAGCCAGGTATGTGTTCCGATGTATGGATGGCGGCTGGTTACTATACCCGGGTACCCAGGTGCCCACCACTGACTGTACCAGAAAGACCACTGGGAGAGGGAGACGTCTGGGCTCCAACATTTGGATAAATCACTTACTGTTGCCTTCTTTGGTTTTATTTTTGATATTTTCCCATGCCATGGACATATACTCAGTGGGAAAATAACACAGATAATTTTTTAAAAAAAGAATAAACCCTTTCTCAGCGCTCTGTCCACCTGCCCTCCATCTCAGGGTCTTCCCAGTTTGGTCTGTAGACTTAACCAAACGCCGCAGGGTGATTTGCTGCCCGGGGACAATGGCATTGTCTGGAGATGTTCTTGATTGTCCCACCCAGGGAATGGGGTGCGTGGGTGCAGGGCTACTGGCATCTCGCTGGTAGAGGCCACGGATTTGCTAAACATACTGTAATGCACAGGAGACCCCCCCAATCACAAGTGATCCAGTCCCGGATTCCAGTAGAGCTGAGGTTGGGATACCCTGACCGAGAGCTCTCTATGAGCATTTACACACACACATATGACTGTATAAAAAGTTAGGCTTTTGCCTGTATGGTATGGCTCAATGGGTCAGTGTTGACCCATGAATGAGGAGTCATGGTTTGATTCCTGGTCATGGCCCAAGCATGAGTTTCAGGCTCGATGCCCAGTAGGGTGTGTACTGATCAATGATTCTCTCTCATCATTGATGTTATTGTTTTATCCTCCCTTTCCCGTCCTCTTTGATATCAATAAAAATACATAGGCTTTTTCCCCTTCCGTAAAGAGTATGCACTGCTCTTCTGTATTCTCTCCATCCATCCAAATGCCAGACTGACTCACCGCCCTTCCCTGTCCTGTCCTGTGCTCCATAAGGTCAACCTCATGGGGTCTTTGCAACTGGCTTTCCCTTGGGTTCAGCCCATCAGAGGCTGCAAGGAGGCCAGCAGCAGGAGGAAGGAGATGGAGGTGCTTGCTCCCCTGCAGCCTCCTTGCTCTAGTACCAGGTTCTGGCAGTAGCTGCCTTCACTCCATTCCTGGCGCCCCACAACCACTAGATTCTGGGCGCCTCAGCATCCCTCGTTTGTTCTTTCAACCCTGTCCACTCCTCCAAAAGCGGGCCCTCCAGTGAGGTCTCCTCATTTGAACCACTTGAATGAGCTCTGTCTTCTGCAGAGACCCTGACTGGAACAGGATATATTCCGTGATGGTTTGCTATTTGCCTTTTTACTTAATATGCCTTAGAGGTTTTCTAGATCCTTCCTTGAATGGTTACATAGAGGATGTGGTTAACAAGTGGTGGATATCTAGCTTTCTCCCCGCGTTCTTTTGGTATTAAAATCAGTGCTGCGGTGAACATCCTTGAATACCTTCTCCCGCACACATGCAAGTGTTTTCCTAAGGTGCATTCTGACTTAAAGGAATATGCTTGTAAGACTTTATAGATACTCCCAACTGTTATCGTTTATGCTAAGTGTCATGCGAATGTAACATGAAATACTGTGTGTAAACAGTGTTCTACAAAGTGCTGCATAAATGTTTTTCAATGTAAAACTCCCTTTGAAAATAAATGCTCTTCTGTTTAGCCTCTGTAAACCACCAGACAGAGAGCAGAGCTGGAGAGGCAGCGGAGAGTGGAGTGGCTTGGAGGACTTCCCCAAGCCGCCAGAGGGAGAGCAGAGAGGGAGGGCTGGCGGCTTGGAGGACTTGGCAGAGTGGGGGGCCTTGGGACAGAGAGCGCAGGGAGCACCAGGAATTCTGGGAATAGTAGTTCTGATGGCAGACGGATCTCCTAGACACTAGATAAAAGTGAGCCTGGAGCAAGTTACTGTTGCAGTGGGGGATGGAGGGAAAGCAAAGGTGAGAGACATAAGTAAAATCAGAGTGTCTAGGATAAATTAAAGGGAAGCTGTCCTAAAACTTCCAGGAAATCTCCACCAATGAAGAAAAGGAAAAAATGTAATATTAATTATAACAAACAAATCTTGATGCTTTTACTATCTCCTTTTTAAGTGAGAAGCTGGGCAAAATAACACAAAAAAGCACAGCATGCTCACGTGTGTGTAAACAGGGGGACTAGCATGGTGGGTAATCACGGGGTGCCTTTGCCCCATCTTGCCTTCTTCTATTAATGGATCCGTCCTTCCTGCCACAGGGTTGGGTGGACATGTGACCAGCCTGGGCCATTCACGGTCGACCTACTCCACTGGTCAGGATTTTTGGTTAAAGGGGTGAACGTGAGAGGCAAGACAAATGCCATTCTACCGTCCTTCCATTATCATTTAAGCTGGCTGGTGCTGAGTTTCTATCCATTGCTACCAAGGGTCCTAACTAACAAGGTTGATACACCTTTTAAAATCATTTGCAGCTTTTAAATGGGTACAATGGAAACTTACGAGCAAAGTTACCACTCGCTCCTGTGTTCAGGAAAAACGTTTGTCCCACGGCGCTGGTGTTCCCCTGAAATTGGTCAGCATAGTGCCCCATTTTGGGGCATCCTGTGACTGGACAAGGAAAACAGCCATTCTAGTGGAAAAACAAAAATTTGTCTGTGAGTGGTAGACCTTTCACTCATTCACTCACTCAATTGATCAATTCATCTTATCAGCCATCCATCCTTCCATCCTTCCTTCCCTCCCTCCAATCATCTACTCATCCATCTAACCATCTTTCTATTTATCTGTCCATCTACCCTCCATCCATTCATTAATGCATCCATCTCACCTATGCCGTCCAGGCATCCTTTGAGAATTTTTCAGAATGAAAAGCTGGGGATCTAGGGAAGGCCCTCCAGGGTCAGGTCTGGGCCATCTGCCGCCTGCCCACCCCGCTCCCCGGAGGAAGAAGGCTCTGCGAGACTCAGCGTTACCAGCACCTCCTCTTACTCGTCATGGAGTTACATCTCTGCTCTGTGCCAAGCCACAGGGACAGAACCAACAACCACAGAGCCACCCCACCCTCCCCAGGCCCCTGGGGAGACCCACCTTCTGAAACTCCTCGTAGGAGGCACACGGGTAGCCCAGGAAGCCGTCGGGGTTGAGGATGCTGCTGGAGTAGTACTTGTAGCTTCTCAGGTGATTGCAGGCTGCAAAGTCTCGGGTTCCTGAGGAAGCAAAAGCCATGGGAGCTCACAGGAGACTCTCACTATTGACGCTTGAATGTTCTAATCTGAATAAGGAGGCACTTCCTCATTTCATAGAGGGGTGTCAGCATTCCCGAATGCCTCAGTCACAATTCCAAGTTCCTATCATTGACTTTCACACACATTGGGGCAAGTAGGAAATAGTTAATGAACAATATTTACAGCACATAGAAGTGGTATCTGGGGGGCTTCTTTAGTCATCGGGTTTGGCTCTGGTCGCTTACCTCTGCCTCCCACATGCCTGTGTGCTGAGCAGGGCCTACTCAGGGCTGGGCATGTGCTGGGGAGGGACGAGTTCTAACAAGGATGTGTGTCCAATCCTCCAGGGGCCAAGCATCTGACAGAAGTGAAGGATGAGGGCTGGGGGCTTAGGAGATAATGATAAAAATCTATACAGAAATGAGAGACACAGAGAGAGAGAAAGAGGTTGGGTGGAAGAGAGAGAGGGAGAGAGAGAGGCAATAGCTTTCAAAGGAATCTTACACTGTCAGCCAGTTGTTGAATGTTAAGGCCCAGATTGCTTGGTCTTCTGATTTTTCATGAGAAACCTGCATCGTGACTTTGACATGACAATGTTCCATGCTTACATGACAGCAGTGCATTCCCTCTTTAAAACCGGTCCATTGAAGGCCCACCACTTGCTTCTGTGGGCAGGGCTGGGCCCGAGGGCCCAGTTTGAGAACCACTATACCTGCAGGCCTGTCCCAGGAATGCAGCATTTCTGTGCCCAGGGCCCCAGGCTGAGAAATTCCTCCTCCTTTGAAACCCTGAGGTCAAAGCAGTGGAGACCATGGTCCCCTGGGCCTTAGGCCACTGTGTCACTGCATTTTATCCACCATCTTTTTCTTTAAACCCAAGTCCTCTCATTTGAAAAATGTGGGGTTTTCTTTTTGTTTTTTGTTGTTTTCATTTCTCCAGCTCCTTGGTACAAAACCTCCCATGGCGTGATGCACAGTGACCCCAGACATACCTGGGGACCACTTCTGGGAGGTCTGGGGTCCTCTTTGTGCTGGTGGATTAGCTCTGCCTGCCCCAGGGCCCAGGGACTCCTGCACCAACACTCATCACCAGACAACACAACCTGTTTCCACCTTAATTGTTTCTTTCACCCAGAATTGCTGCCCTGGGATCCATAATAGAGGGGCAAGTGGATTTAATTGTTCCTCCAGCCCAGCCCCAGGGTGACTGGGAGCCCACACAATAGACCCACATCCTGTGGGCTTGTTCACTCTGAATTGCCTCTTTCATTAAAGCTGGGCTCCTTGCTATTATGTGGGCCCTGCTGGTGGCTTCTGGAAGGGGCAGCCTCTTTGTGACTCAGTGTTCCTTCAGCTGGGTCTTCCCTGGAGTTACCTGGTGCTGGGCAGAGCGCTCAAAGGCTCCAGTGGCTGAGGGTGGATGTGGGCTACTGCTTTATCCACTCTACTCATTCACATTAAGAACATAGAATATTCAATGCCACAGAAGGCCTCTCTGCTCAGTGGAGTGGGCTGTACTGAGCGCCTGCTCTGGGCCAGGCCCTGAGGAGGGTACTGGGGTGTCTGGGATGCCCGGGAAACTGCCAGCGGAGACAAATAAACACTAAAATGAAATGATGGCAGACTCAAAGCCTCCATGTGCAGGGGGGAGATGAAGCCTGGTCTCCAGGGAGAGGCAACAGGAGAAGAGCAGAGTCCAGACAAGGACAGGTGATGGAGGTGGTGCTGTAAGTCACCTAATCGTAGGGGGACTGAGCCTGTCTCTCATGTAAACGCAGACCTCATGCGGACGAAAAAGGGGCCACATACTAAACCTGAGAACCTCAGGGGAGGCCTGCATGGTGGCCTTACAAACTCAGAGGCTGAAAGTAACCACGTGGGGTGGGCTGAACATAAAAATTCCTAATTAAAAGCTGGTCATGGAGGGTAGCACTGTCCCAGGCCTACAGCTTCTTTGACAAAGGTTAATCATTTTCTTTTTTAAATCCTTACCTGAGTATATGCTTATTGATTTTAGAGAGAGAGGAAGGGAGAGAGATAAACATCAGTCAGTTGCCTCCCATATGGGCCCTGACCAGAAATCAAACCCAAAACCTTTTTGGTATCTAGGACAAAGCTCCAACCAACTGAGCCATCCGGCCAGGGTGACAAAGAATCTTTACCTTAAGTGAAACTGTTTTCTTTTTGCATCTAAGGAAACGCACCTTTTAAATATCAGAGTAATCTTTTCCAGATCCCTCAGGGCACCCTCTTATAAGAGCACCTCACTATGACCTTGTTCCCCAAATACCCCCTCTATGTGCTGTCAATGTTGATCATTAGCTATCCTGTTCCCACCAATGTAAAAGAATGTGTCTCTCTATTTTTCTGTTTATCCAATTCCAGAGATTTCCCGTTTTACTTTCCTCCCCCTCCCTAATCTACCACCTGTGGATTTCATGGAACCCCTATGTCTCTTCTTTTTATTCTAATGTATAAAATAAGCCGCAAAACTGCCATTCTCTGGAGCATGTTCTCAGTCCGTTGAGATTTTGCTGCCCAGCAATTGTCATCAGTTTGGCTCCAATAAACTCATAAAAATTCTCTACAGGTTTGGAATTTCTGACACTGACATGTACAAGCCTCATTCCCCCTAGACCTCCAGGCCTCCTACTCCATGCACGCACTCCCCAAACCCACAGAGCATGTCCCCACTCGGTCCTTTTACCAGCTCAGTCCCTTTCCTGTCCTAGCACCTGCCCACAGCAAAGGGTAAGAACATCAAAGCCCTGCTAGCCTTTGTGCCTGCTCTTCAAGGAGCAAGCAGTGCAAGCAGCTGGGGTGGGGGTGGGCACAGCTAGAACTGGTATTTGCCAATGTGCCCGTCCAGCTCAGGCCTCAGCATCCTGATGAGGGGGACGACACAGGCTGCGGACTCAAGGGTCCCAGGTTCGATTGGGTATGAGGTTGGGACTTTGCAGCCAGAAATTGAACTTTAATATAAGGTGGCCTTGGGCAAGTTTGATAACTGTTCAGACCCAGTTTCTTCAGCTGTAAACTGGGGATAAGCAGAGTAATTCCCTCATGGCACTGTGACAATGCCTGGGACAGAATGAACCGGACGTGGAGGCAAATTCAGTGCTACCAGGGCACAGCCATGCATCCTGCCTTCTCCCCAGGGAGGGCACTGCCATCTTGCTTTGCTAATGCACGTACCTTCCCAGAATCCATTTATATCAAAGATGGATGAAAGGATATTTTTCTTACATCCGGGCATTTGCTTTCCTCCGTTTGGATAGAAATCCAGATGGCCCACCTTCTGGCTCATTCCAAAACCTGAAACATTGGAAGCGGTGGTGAGCAGGGAAGGAAGTGGTCCCAAGGCAAGGTCATGGCCCCAGAGAGCGTCTGACTCCTTCGCACAAGAATGAGAGTCTTCTCGGCAAACTGTCCACTCAGCACAGCCACCCCACTGGGTTTTGTAGATCCCTCACTAAGATTAGGCCATAGCAAGACAAGGAAGGGGGAGTGAGCAGAGGCAGTGAGCATGCCTCTATGTGTATTTGCATGTCTGTCTGTCTGTCTGTCTGTCCTGGGGAAGCTGTGAACAATACTGATATCCCCTGATACCATTATGCATCATAGACACCTATCAGGACTGGTGCAATTCCCATTCCTTTACTCATTCTGAAATTTTGATTTCTATATTAGAAGGTTATATTGAGACCTCATTGTTGTATTGAGAGCCCAGCATAATGGCTGGACACTTTGGCTTTTTAAGCACACAGACCCGTGATCACATCCTTGTCCTATTTACACACTCCGTGATCTCGGGCAATTACTAAAGTTTTTCAAGCCTCTGTGTCCTCAGCTATGAAACAGTAATAATAATGCCCACTTTCTAGGGTTGTTACCATGATTAAGGAGTGAGTATGTACAAAATGTCCAATGCAGCCCATGGTAACCATCACTATTATTAAAAACATACCCTTTGTTGGCATGTTTCATGAGGGGTTACATAAGAAAATATTGAAAAAAAAACATTGAGTTTATGTAATATAAATTTTTTACATAATTTTATTTATTTTAAATTTTCATTTCCTTAAACTAACAACAACTCACCCATTTTATTTTAGAAGCATTAAATAAAGGAATATATTTTGTTTCCAACAACAGAAACTATAACCAAAGTTTCCACAAAAGAAGTGAGGAAAATATTCAAACAATAACATTGCATTTTGCAAGTATAGGTCAAGCATCCTATATAATAAAACCCTAACATGCAAATCAACCGAACAGTAGAACAATCAGTTGATATAATGCACAATGACCATAGGGGGCAGACGCTCAATGCAGGAGCTGCCCTCTGGTGGTCAGTGTGCTCCCACAGGGAGAGCACCACTCAGCCAGAAACCAGGCTCACAGCTGCCAAGCTGGAGGGAGCCTCTCCGCCTCCAAGGGAGGTAGCACTAAGGAGCAGGGAGCCTGGCTTCTGCCTGGTGAGCACAGCAGTGGTGGCAGAAGCCTCTCCCGCCTCTGCAGCAGCACTGAGGACCCTCAACCCCACCCCTACAAACCACCCCTCCGCCACCAGTGCAGGAATGGATAGTGGAGATAGGGAAGGTCACAGGGTTTGAGGGCTGAGCAACAGCCTTCCACAGGCTACACCAGTGTGTGTCTGACCTGCCTGGGGCCACAGGCTGATACCACTGGTGCTGGGCTGGCTGTTTATTTGTAGCTGACACCCACTTTGACTGGTTGGCATCCAAGCTATTACTGTAGTTAACCATGTTGAATACCACCCCTGGACCTACTCTTACCAGTTACAGCCCTGGTCACCAAGAGGTGGAGTGAGGAACTCACCTAGGTTAGGGACTATGGGGGAGGTATCTGTGTGAATCACATCCACAAACATGGCATCCGACGGGTCCAGCCTCACCTCCTCGGGCGTGCCCTGGAAGCATGGCTGTGCAGGATCCAGTCCTGAAAGGGGGAGGTGGACAGTGACAAACCAGGTTCCAACCCCTGGACCCACAAAATCCATGTGGCTTTCTGCCTGAAGCAGCGGCTGGCCCAGCTCATCTTCAAAGAGAAGCAGAAGGTGGGAGGAGCATGGCCCACAGACTCAGTGACCTATATTCTAGCCCAGGTTCTGCTCTAGGTCAAATTCATGTCTTCCTTCAGCCTCAGTTTCCTCATCTGGAAAGTGGGAATAACAGCACCCTTCCTTATGGGGCTATTGTGAAAGCCCCACGCAAAGGTATAAGAGAAAGAACTTTGCATCTGAAAAAGTCTCCGAAAACATAATCTATGAGTCGCCCCTCCTTCCCCCAGTGCCCAGCACACAGCCCTGGGCACAGGAGACAGCATCACACTGTGGGCACAGTGACACACACGGGACTCAGCGGTGTCTGCGTCTATGTCTTGTGTGCCTTCATTTGCCTAGTGATTCATTCATTCATTCTATTATCTACCACGTGCTTCCTGTGACAGGTCTCAGCTACTTTCACTTTCTGCCTGTAGCTGGCACTGCCACGACAATTAATATTTATGGAACTGTTGAATTCATATTAAAAAACCATTTCACTGTTCAAAAATCTGCCGTACTCTAGCAATAATAATCCTGAAGTCATGAGTTGAATGTGCTAGTTATATTTTTCTTTTTTAATAAACGTGTTTTTATTTACAATCCTTATTTTTTGTAATTCACATGAAAATGTATGGCAATTATTTTTAAAATCTATGTCTGGCAGGACTTAAAATCAGTGTGCCCGGATGACCAGTGGCGGCGCAATTGGCAATGAGAAGTGCCTGTCTCTGGGCTTCCATTGCCCTACAGGCCCGTCCCTGTCACCCCACCCCAGCCCCTTACCTGTGATCCTGCCCACGGAGCCCCCCAGCCTCCTGCCCGCCTCGCCAGCTGCGTGCGCGCCCAGGCTGTGGCCGATGATGTGCACGTTCTCCAAGCTGTAGCCCATCTTGGTCTGTGGAAGGATGGGGTGTCAGGGCCCCCAGGCCCCGTGGCGATGCCCTGGCTTGGGGAAGGGGATGGGGACAGGTCTCCAGAGCAAAGATCTGGCTCCGGAACCTCCTAGGCCAGTGTCACCCGACCCTTGAGCCAACGCAGTCTCCAGAGACCCCAGTCCGGTGTGCAGGCTGGGCGAGGGGAGTGTGTGTGTGGGGAGGGAGGGGGGGAGAAGGCGGTGACAGTGTGGAGTAGTGGCCTCTGTGTCCACTGCAGGCGGCCTGGGGAGCCTGGCCAGGTGCTGCCTGCTCCATCCACACTCACCGCGGCCTCCCTCCCCTCCCACAGGGCCTGGGCCTGCCTGGAGAGCCTGGGTAGCGGGCCCAGCTCTAGGGTGCTCAGAATAGACCTTCCAGAAGGCGGTAAGGGGCGTTCCCCTTTCTGAGAAAGAAGACTCATCTTCTGGGCTGACAATTCCCAGAACAGCCTCCAAGGACGGCTTATTTCAAAAGGGGAAACCGAGGCCCAAAGTGGTTCCTTTGCCCCAGGCGCCACTAGGGATCTTCAGGACACTCCAGGAGGGGAAGGCTGCAGTTTCATTTTAGGAAACGCCCCTCTGTGTGTCCAGGCTTCCAGGCCCAGCCCCTGTGCACCGGTCCCCAGGCTGCCTCTGGGCGCACCGGGTCTGCCCGCCCCCTCAGGCCCCTCCCCACAGGATGGGGCTCAGGAGGATTTACCGACAGCCCTTGTATTAAGAACGCTATCTCGGCTCCCACGACTCGAATGTTGTGGACGGCTTGGTTGTAATCTGTCCTGGCCCCACGCCTCCAGTCCACGCAGATGCAGTTCACCTTCTCCACCTTAAACATTCTCTGGGGAGAAAAAACAAGAGGGAGAATTCAAAGTATTAACAGGCACAGGCCGCACACTCCAGAGACAGGAATTCACAGCCTCCAAGCATCTCATGTGTGTCAGAGTTTTCATATTCCTCCCACTTGTCCTAATCCTCACCACTTCACCAGGAACTCAGTACCTGATCCCCACTTAACAGATGTGAACACTGAGGCCTGGAATGGAGTAAGTGACTGGCCAAAGGTCTCCCAGATGGTTATTGACACAGCCAGGCAGAAAAAGGATCGCTTACTACATCAGGGCTTAGCCAACTGTGATGGGAGGGCCAGATCCACCTGCTCATATTAATCAAGTTTTATTGGGAACAGGCACACCCCTTTGTTTACATTCTCTCTCCCTCTGCTTTGGAGCAACAACAGGGTTGAGTGGAAACCATATGACCTGCAAATGCTAAACTATTTACTACCCAGTCCTTTACAGGAAGTTGGCTGCCACTTGTACTAAGTTCGCTGCCACTGTACTAGGTGCTGAAGCCACAGGAGGGCTGCTCTTATGTTCCCAACAATGTGTAGGGGGAGCTAGAAGGTATTAACAGACAAGATGACATGTAGATGGAGGTAGCTACAACTCTCTTCACATGTGCATCTTTTATATTATGTGCTGTGGCCGCCGTGTGCTGCCCAAGCTCAGACTGGTCCCGTGATGGGACCAAATAACTGTCAGAGAGAGCCACTGCAGAGCCTGTGTTCACTGGAGGATGGCCTGGACTACCCCGGGGACTGAGGCAGGGAGGAGTGGCCTGGAGGCCAGGGCCTGGGGATGGAAACGTCCCCCTGACTTTCCCAGCTCCACGTTCACATGGCGTCCTTCTGGGACTTGGGGACACGTATGAACACCCAAACCTCCAGAGGAGCAGCCCACCCTTGGGAAGAAGCTGCCTGAGGTCTCCCCAGTGCAGACTTAGCAGAAAGCCATGCCCCTGGGCACCTCTAAAGACTAAAGCTACAGACACAAGGTTGTGGTACTTTATAGACAGGAGACCTGGCTTTGCATTCCCACCTCTGGATTCTACTCTGGGCAAGTGTTGAACTTCTCCTGCCTTAATTTCCTCATCTATAAAATGGGAACAATAACTCTACCTTTCTCACAACATTGCTTGTGGGGGACGGGGGGCGGTCAAATGAGACAAAGAGTGTGAAATAATAATCACAGTGTCGGGCTCAGAGGAAGTGCTCAGTAAATGGATGTTATGAATAATAATTCATCCCTAACATTCCTGAGACCTTCAGAACTGCGCCACCCAATACTGTGGCCACTGGACCCAGGTGGCTATTTGCAATGATCAAAATCCACAGAATTTAAGAGTCAAGTTTTGGTCACACTCCCCATTTCGGGTGCTGGGTGAGCGCAGGGGAGCAGTGGCTCCTGGTTGGGACATGACGCCATGGAGCCTTTCCGCCCTCACAGAGAGCTCTGGGGGACAGCAGGGTTTCAGGGGCCACGTTTACGTGGCTTTCTAATGTCACACGGGGGCTTTACATAAACCACCCGAGACCAATGCCAGGGAATTTGCTGACGCCTCCGCTTCTGGGGCATTTTGATTGGGCTCTGGGTCTCTTTGGTCTCCAGAGGAGAGGACGGGCAAGAGGTCAGGGGGTCAGGAGAATTTGACAGTGGACGCTCCAGAGGAACCGGGGTTTCCTCGGAGTTTTGAGGAAGAAGCATCTGTTCCCTGGACGGTCTGCGTTCCCAGTCTCGGGGGCAGTGACCTGGAAAGTGTTTGAAGCTGGGTGCCGGGTGCTGGTCTCAGCGGGGAGTGGCCGGGGGCAGGGCCCTACCTGGCACATGTCCGTCAGCCATCTCTCCTCCCCCTTGTCTATGAAGCCATGGATGATGAAGCGCGTCTTGCGGTCCAGTTGGAAGTTTGAAGCGTTCACGGTCGCCAGGTCCGTGGAGGAGATCCGCTGGTTAAAGTGGAAAAGGTGAATTGGGACGTTGGCCTTTCCAAGCCAATGGCCTGTGAGAGCCAGTTCCAGGGAGACTGGGTCACGGGATCAGCTCCCAGGAAGTGGGTGGGGCTAGAACAGGAGTTCCTGCCCTGGGCTTTGAGGACAGGATTCACAAGGTCCACGTTCATGGACTTCCTAGGATTTCTGTTAATTATGAAATTGCCAACAAGCCACCGTCGTTGTAACAGCACTCTGTCACCAATGGGAGTCACGGGTATTTTCCTGTCACAGGACAGTGGTCGCAGATGTCTTAAAAATTAGTTATTCTCATTACTATTTGTAGTGGCCATAGTTAGAACAACCCATGATCTTGTTATTTAGTGAGATAATAATAAAGTAGCATATATATGACTGTGACATATATTTATTGTTTCAAATGTTCTGATAACTGTTTTTCAATATAATTGGTTTCCTTTGTAATCCAATGTGTTTTATTTCATGCATTTAAATACATCATCCTGAGAAGGGATCCCTCGGCTTCCCCAGATGGTGGAAGATGTTCTTGGAACAGAAAGAGCGAAGGACCCCAGGCCAGAAGCACCAAAACGAGACGAGATGTGGCTCAGTGGAGCCAGGAAGGGCACCTCAAGCTTGTATCACTTAAGAACTGAGGCCTACATGCCAGGGGCCCCTTCACCAGCCCCCTGGGCACCACGCCTGAGGAATGATCGGAAATGAAAACAGCCCAACCACCAGTCCAAGCGGACTCCCAGCTGGGGGCTCTAAGGGGGAGTTTGTCAGCAAAAATCCCACTGCAGCCGGCCTCAGGGATGGATGGCCAGTCACCTGCTTTCCAAAATGTCAGGGGTGGAGCTGTGAGCAGCTGAGCTCTGAGCAAATTCTTCCTGGTCAATTCTAAGCACCTGGAAGAGCCTGTCCTGCCTCCACCCGCAGGCCTTCTGGGGACTGGAGGTCACTCCCAGGGTCCTTTTTGCTTTTGTGGTTAGATGCCCCTACCACTCTGGCCAGAGTGGCTCCGTGGTTAGAGCATTGGCCCATGCACGGAGGGTCATGATTTGATTCCCGGTCAAAGGCTTGCACCTGGGTTGTAGGTTTGATCCCAAGCCCCAGTTGGGGCTCATATGGGAGGCAACCATTCAATGTGGCTCTCTCACATCAATGTTTCTCTCTCCCCTCTGTCCTTCCATCACTCCCTTCCACTCTCTAAAAAGCAATGGAAAAAATATCCTCTGGTGAGGATTAACAACAACAAGTCTCTCTCCCACACCTGTCTTCTGGCTCATCAGGAAGGACTTACACCCCCACCCTCATTCCCTGAGCGGCTTCTCTCCTCCCACCCCCAGTGCAGGAAGAAGATGGACACACCAGGCCTGGATTCCCCATAAATGCTGCTCCTACCCGCTTCCTCCCAGGATCGGGGGTCAGTGCCAGGAAGGCCTGTGCACAGTGTGTGGAATGTGGGCGTTTCTGGGCCCGGCACCCATAGACCTCATCAGGGGTTCCCGATCCTGAGAGCTAAGGTGGCTGCCAGTGGTGAGGGAGCATCGCCCCGACCTCCCCACGGTTCTGCCTTTTCCTTAGACACCTGCGTGCAGACGCCAGTGTGGGTGCCCTACTCCACCTGCTCTGCAGTCCCGCCAGGCCCCTCTTACTTGGTAACTGTTGGGATTATCATTTGTGTAGAGAAGAAACCGGGTGTTGACGTCCTTGGGGGGCCAGGGGAATAGCTTCAGGGGCCGCTGTACAATCCCTCCCCATGGCTTGTCATCGGGGAAGCAGCCGAAAGGTTCATAGCAGACCTCCTTTCCTGGGGCAGAGAGAGCAGCACACGGGACACTGTGAGTTCAGAAAAGGAGCGACCTTGCCTCAGCTACACAGGAGGCGTTTCAGGGTGCAGCCCAGGCTGGCGAGGCCAATGCTGGGCTCCACCTGCTGTCAGTGCTCCCCAAATTCCACGGAGACAAGAATCGCCTGTGCACACTCCCAGTGCCTCCCTGGGCGATTGTGATTCACAGGGAGGGAGAGGGGCACCGGGATCTGCTTGTTTCATGCTGATTTCACCCTGATCATCAGGCCAGAGGGGGATTGGCTGAGCTTTCTGGCAATCTTCTGCCTTAAAACTACCTCTTCCGGGAGAGCCCCAGATGGCCCTTTACATGCCATCACATGGCATCAGGTATGATATCGCCTGTGATTCTGTAGCGCAGAGATGCTGCTGGGTGGAACCTGATGCTGGCGCCACACCCAGCACAGCAGCCGATCCTGGGTGCAGTCCAATCCCCTTGTCTTCATGTCACCCTTTGATGCACATTGTCCCCAATTATTCTCTGTCATTTCAGGTTTTTCCTGTTGTTCTCAGTAAAGGCACATTTCTTAAGGCCAGGGATGACTGATTTTTTCATCATTCTGTATACAGTAGGGGCTCAATACATGCAACCGATGATCCAAATAACCACGTCCAAATCTGAGGGTCCTTCCTCTAGTCCAGTGGTCAGCAAACTCATTAGTCAACAGAGCCAAATATCAACAGTACAATGATTGAAATTTCTTTTGAGAGCCAAATTTTTTAAACTTAAACTATATAGGTAGGTACATTGTTATTAACTTAATTAGGGTACTCCTAAGCTGACCTTTGCTAAAAACGTCCTCAATCTGAGGGGTTGACCTCAGCAAATGTACCCCCGCTTCTTCTAATGCCACTTCTTCAAAATAGATTCACCCAGGCCAAAAACCAACTTCTGCCAATGGGCCACGAAGTTTCAATCGAACTGTACATGCGCGCCCACACGTGGTACTTTGTGGAATAGCCACACTCAAGGGGCAAAGAGCTGCATGTGGCTTGTGAGCCGTGGTTTGCCGACCACTGCTCTAATCTACAGCACAAGCATTTTTACAGAGAGTGCCCACTGAGGGCACATGATCAAATCCAGAGGATTTCAATGGGTCTTCTCCCTTAGGCTTCCTCAACTCCGAAGCTGATGGTGCCAGAGGTTGCCCATTCACTCAAAAACTGACAATAGTTATCAGTTTTTACCACCTGAAGCAAGAGTAGACTGTTTACTCTGTGCCAGATACCACACTAGCGCTTCACCAGCATTATTCCCTTTAAGCCTCAAAATAGCCCATGATAAGGAATTACTTCCATTTTACAGATGGGAAAACCAAGGCACAGAGAGACAAAGTAAGCTGCCCAAGGTCACAGCCAATGGTGGGCCAGGATTTGAACTGGGGGAGTTTAATTGGGAATAAAGCTAGGCACTGAGGAGATAGAAAGACATATCAGTCATAAACCCTGCCTTGAATGAGAGGAAATCTAACAGGGAAGGAATCATGATGACCCTGACTTCCTTCCAGGAAGAGGGACCAGTCCCAGATGAAGAGCTGCTGAGACTAAAGCAAGTCTTGCTTCAGGTGGTAAATGCAGGAGCTTGAAGGCCAGGGTCAGGCACCGGGACTGTTAGGTGGATAGTGAGTGGGAGGTGCTGGTGAGGGTGGTGGGATTTGTGCTCCATGAAGGTGTTTTTAGGAACCCAGTTTGGGTGGCTCAGAGGCAGGAGAGCCTGGGAGAGGTGGGGGTTGGAGTGGGGCAGTACAGGGGTGGTGGGTCTGAGAGGAAACAAGTATTCTAGTCTTGGGTGACAGTGGAAATGAAGGGAAGGGTGGAGAGACGGGGTAGGGAGTGGTGCCTGAGCCTGGACAAGTGAGTGTGAGGTGTGGTGGGACGCCCTGGTGGAGCTGCCTGGAAATTGGAGGGGGCGGGAGGGGATGGGGGTGCCGGGGTCCAACCCCAGCAGGTCCAGGGGTCCCCAAAGGTGTGGACGGATTCGGCAAAGAAGGAATGACATGGAGGCAGCGTTCAGTTGATCAGCAGCCTAGCCAGGATCTCCAGCCAGGATCTCCAGCCAAGTTCTGGTCTGGATCTCCAGAGAGGTTCTGCTTCAGATCTCCAGCCAGGTTCTGTGTCCATGTTCTCTTGCTAGGTTCTCCAGCCAGGTTCAGTCCAGGTTCTCCAGCCAGGTTCAGTCACCAGGTTCTAGTCAGGTTCTCTTGCCCATTTCTGTAGTCAGGTTCAGTCCAGGATCTTTTGCCATGTTCTCTCCAGCGAAGTTCTTCTGTCTCTAGTTCTGTGTGTTCTGTCTTCTTACATCTGTATTTATACCAGTTGATTCCAATCCTATCAATCTCTATTTCAAAGGTTAGGGCGTTTCTTATCTCCATTCCAGGGAGTAAAGATTATGTAGCTTAAGCATGATTGTTCGTAGTTAAAGTGATTAATTACCCACCTGGCACTTAGTTAAGAGGTTTTATTCCCTCCCTAACTTCAGGGGAAAATCCCTACCTGGGGAAACAACCTTTCTCAGAGACCTTGGTTAAAACACATAGTGCCAAGAAGGTGAGCAAACATATTAAGAACAGTATGCCATATATGCCAGGTCCCTTGAAACAGCAAGCATGGACCGGCTCCCGGCATGGGGGGGCTTGTGGAGAGCAGAGGCTGGGCAAAGGGGAAGCCACAGGAAAAGGGCGAGGAGAGCGCTGGGAGTGACCTCTGTGGGACGCCCACATTTAGGCAGGAGAAGGCAGCAGAGGAGCAAAGGAGACCAAGAGGGGCCAGAAAGGCCAGAGGAGCAGCCAGACCCAGGTGGGCTCTGCTCTCCAGAGTCAGGTCCTGCTGCATGGCCAAGATGGAAGGGAGACCAAGAGTGGGCTGGGGGAGGTGAGGAGGAAAGGAGGACTCGTGGTGCAGAAGGAAGCCCAGCAGAAGGGAGGCCAGAGGAAAGGCTCAGATTGGAGCTGGAGAGGCAGAGGAGGCAACAGCGAGAGGAGTGATGGGGAGGGAGGGACAGTTCTCCACAGGACACATCCATGTAGCTTAGGCTGCAGACACACTTGTTCTCGCAAGGGACTGAGGGACTTGGGGGCCTGTCGAGAGCACCGTCCCCCAACTCCGCTGCCCAACAGCCTACCACTTGGATCACCCCATCACAGGCAGTTGCTGGAGGAAAAGGGCGGGTGGGTCCCCAGGGTCATCTGTGTCCAAGATGTTGCCCTGTGTTTGCTTCAGCATCAACACTCCCCCAATGGTGGCAATTGTTGTTTTTGTTGAAATAATGATAACGCTGTTCATTATGATGATAATGATGATGAGGCCTCTAGCTGCCCCTCCCAGAGGCCAGCCCAGGCACGGTCCCTTCCTCCCCACAGGGGTGGGACAGCACCCTCACCTCTGACGGTGGCCAGCAGGAGGAGGCCGAAGATCCAGGAGGGCAGCATCTACATGGATGAAAACAGAGACAGTGGGGACCATCGCCCAACCCAGACAGGGCAGGGGGCCTGGAGCCCAGGGAAGCCCGGTGCCTGGGTCCCATCGGGCTGTCCCTCCAGGTGGGGACCCTGAGGCTGAGGCCTCCCCACACAGGGAGAGGGCAGCACCTCTGTGGAACCCGGATGCAGGATCCTCCCAGCGCAGTGGCTGCTCCCTCTGGGCCATGTCCCTCTGGCTGCCCAACCCTGCCAAGCGCCCTGCCCGGGCAGAGCCATGACTTACTGTGTGACACCTGTGCTCCACTCAGCCTCAGGATGGCTGTGGCCTTTTATAACCAGGCTTTGTCCTTTGGACTCTTTAGAGGAAAGGACAGGAAGATGGATAAGTGTGCTTTGCACCGAGATTATCATAAACACATACAGTCAGCTGAGCGGGGATCAGAGCTATTTAAAGTGAGATCGAAAGGAAAAAAAAAACAAAACAGACTTTGGGGACAGGTGTTATATTGGAAATCAGCAAGCTAAACAGAGGACGCCTTAATCAGTAAGTCAAATTTGGAGTCTTTATTACACCGGCGGTCTCAGATGAGTTATCTCCAGAGTCTGAGCAAACTAATATGGAGGAAGCTTTCCCTTTATACCTTCCCAGTTCCTTTGTCTGCCAAATATGGGGTTTCCGGACCTTTTGCAGGCTTTACAAAGAGCCCTATGTAGTGGGAGATATTTTGCAGGAAGCTTGTAGCCTTGAGCACAGTACCATTTAGATAACTCAAACACACCTGGCCTGGCAGTAACCAGGGATGGCAGCAGAGCGGCTTGCAAGGCCAGGTAATTGAGCTTCTTTTCCCTATTATTTGAGCAAGTGTGTTTACAGAACCAAGAATAGCAGAGTTAATTCATAGAACAAAGGACCATCTATGTTTAGTGGACAATTTCAAATAGCAGTTTTTGCAACATCGAGGTTACGGGAGCAAGATGGAGTGCCTATGCTTCACAGGAAAGGACCCCATTAATCTGAATCTACAGGTTCAGCTGCCAAAGATTGTGTTTCCGAGGTGAGAACAGGGAACACCAAGCCTCCTGTTCAGAATCCCTTCAGAAACAGGAGCCCAAGCCCGTCGTGGTGCCTGTAGGTGTTGGCAGGAATGGGGTCTGCAGGTTTGCTGTTCCTGGGAGGCACCTGGGTATGAGGACACGTGTCTCCTCTTCTCCGGGGTTGGGCTGGGTGGAGAGCCGCCTCCAAAGGACCTGGACAGAGAACAAAAGCAAAGGCAGCCCTTTGTTGAGCAAGAAAGAGTCAAACAAACACTGTTTACAGAGATAGCTTTGTTTGGAAACCATATAGTCTATTTCCAAAGAATTTCTGAGCTGGGTGGACTGTACTTTGACCTGGAGATAAGAAGGTGGAGGTGGCCCAGCCTGCCTCTTCCAGGATCGGGGATCAAGCCTGCAACCCGGGCATGTGCCCTGACCTGGAATTGAACCGTGTCCTCCTGGTTCATAGGTCCATGATCAACCACTGAGCCACAGCGGCCGGGCAGAGTTTCTCTCTCTTGCTCACTGAATTCCAGGCGCACAAGCCAGGCTGGCCTTGTGTAAACTTTTTGAAAGTGCCCACCCTAGGGTCTTTGCATATTCTGTTTCCTCTTCCCAACACATACCATCCCCACTCTCTTCTGATCTAAGTCAAAGTATCCCCCTCCTCCAAGAAGCCTTCCTCACTGCCCAGAGTGGGACCAGGTCTGCCTTTACATTCTAATCATATTACATTTTCCTTCCATGGAACATATCCCAGCTGGTAATCGTATTTCAGTGACTGTTTAGACCTTGCCTTGGTGTTAGGGTCGCAGTGTGGATGGTCATTTCTGTGTGGCCAGAGCCTAGCACAGCCCCTGGCAGGTACCTTGATCACGGTTGGATCAGGCATTGCTGGAGGAAAGGATGGGACCTTGGAAGGTAATGACTCATGGGCTGGTGAACTGGGTAACTTCTAGATCTCTCCTGCCTCCCCCTCCCTGACCTGTGGCCGGGAGGATGCTTCTGTGGCCTCCCTTGGCCTTGCCCTTGGCCCTCTGGTTGGGTTCAGTCAATGGGAGGCTCCTCAGGAAGCTCAGAGGGGAGGAGGAAGGGTTGGAGTATTTCTACCCAGCCTCCCTCCCATCTGTGCTGGCTTGGGCAACATTGCATTTCTGTCCTGAGGACTGCAGCTTCTCTCAAGCAGCTCCCTCCCATGGCCCCAGCCTCTCAAGCAGCTCCCTCCCATGGCCCCAGCTCTTTCCATGTTCCTATGACAGCTCCTTCCCTCCCTCCCTCTGGGCTTCAGGCCACCAGGATGTCAGAGCTTCCAGCTGCTGCTGAGCCCTCTCCACCTCTGTAACTAGTCCCTTTGATACGCCCTTAGAGCGGGCCATCTCTTTGCCACTGAGGCCCCTCACAGGTGCAGCTGGACACTGGACCCCCCTCACCCCCTGAGGGAGGATGTGGTTCAGAGGCCTGGGGTCCCTCTGGGGGGATTAGCTAGGCTCTGGGCACCTTCCTTTCCTCACTCCATAATGAGGATGTCAGTCCTTATCAGGGAAGGTTCAGAATTGTGTAGTTGTTGGGTTTCTGGTTTTGCAGCCCACACTAGTAGCAGCCAACCTATTCTGTGGTTTGGTTGTAGTTTTTGCCAAAGGTTTAGTACATTATCTTCAAATACTCAGTGGGTCCCATCACCCATGCCCTCCTGGTTCCCGCCACAGATTAGTCCAGGAATCAGGGAACTGCTGGCCTGAGTGGCTTTTCATCTGGTCAACAGCCACCACCAGAGGGCAGAGCTGGAGAGGAAGGGAGGGTGTCAGTTTATCCTTGCTATGTCCAGGTCACCATGCCTTGTTCTACATGCCAAGGGCAGATGGTGGTCACCCCTGTCCTCGAGGGACTCACTGAGGCAGATTTGTTCACTATAAGGAAAAACTTTCCAAAGTTTAGAGTCATTGGAAAATAGTTTCTCAGTGGGGTTGGATAACATTACGACTTGAGCAGAGGCAGACAAAAGCCAAGAATCAGGTGAGGGTCGATTTGAGGATCTACTTTGAAGGTCCTTTTCAAATCTGGGATCCTACAAGAAATTTTGGAAATTGTAACGTAGAGAAAAGACTTTCCCTTTCCATTCAAGCAACAGTCACCCGAGGGAGCACACCATCCGAACCCCCCTTCCCGAGGATAAGAAATCACCCAAGAGGTGACAAAATCAAAGGTAATGAGAATAAGGTGAGCAAACACATCTGGGGAGTGTAACCCCCAGGACAGGCATTGAGGGCTGAGCATCGGAAAGGAGTTGGGTGGCCTTGGTCAAGTGGGGTCCTGGGAGGAAATGGCAGTGATCAAATCGTAGCTCTCAGAGCGGTAAATGCTCAAGAAATAGAGCACCTGTTTAGTCCCACTTTACAGCCAAGACCACCAAGGTCCTGGAAGGTTAAAGGGCTTCCTTTAAGGGCAATTGCAAGAGCAGGCTTTGGTCGTAGGGCTCCACCTCCTACTGTGCTGCTGCTCCCTCCTTTTGAAGGTCTCAGTTGATGACCTGTGTAATGGGTGGAATCTAGACCACTGATGTAGGAACATTGTCCCTGCACCAAGCTGCCCCCCGAGGAGGGCTGGGCACCCCTGTCACAGTCACTAGTCTCAGACAGTCCTGAGCCTGCCTGGTCTCTTTGGCAGGGTGGCCCAAAGCCGGCCAGTGGGGCACCAGGCTGTCTTCCATTTGCCTGCCCATGGCAGGGCCAGCTCAGCTCCTCTCTCCTTTCTAGGGATCCGAGGTTCTGAGACTCTGCCAGCTGCCTGCCCTGGGAAGAAGGGGGAGGCCAGCACCTGTGGGAAAAGTCATTCACTGCCACCTGTTGGCTGGTGGCAGCAGTGTCAGGTCTGGGCCTGGGAGAGCCCTGCCAGCTGGCATAGCAGCTGTTGAGGTGGTGGGGGGGGGGGGCGATGGGGGTAATTGGGGTCCTCCTCCTACACTGGGCCTGTTGAATGTTTGTTTATTCCTCTGCTTCAGCAGCTCTTGTATATGTGCCCTCCAGTCCCCTGACCTTGTCCTTGCCTTGCCCTTGCAAGGCTGCCATCACCTCTTTCTAGGTCCCTGCACCTCCCCCTTCAGGTCATCCTCCTGGCAGCTTCTTCCCAGCTTAATCCTGTGGGTGCTCCCTATGCCCTCAGATGCATGTCTCACGTGTTTGTTCAATCATTCATGTCTGTTGTTGTTGTTTTTTTAAAAAAAAATGTTTTTATTGATTTCAGAGAGAGGAAGGGAGAGAGAAAGAGAAAGAAGGCGAGAGAGAGAGAGACAGAGAGAGAGAGAGAGAGAGAGAGAGAGACAGAGAGAGAGAGACAGAGAGAGAGAAACATGGATCAGCTGCCTCCTGCACACTCCCTACGGGGGATCGAGCCCACAATCCCGAGCATATGTCCTGACTGAGAATCAAACCTGTGACTTCCTGGTGCATGGGACAAGCTCAACCACTGAGCTACACTGGTGAGGCACTTATGTCTATTTTTATGAGGCTACAACGTGCGGGGGGGGGGGGGGGCGCTCTTCTGGTCTTGAGGGACGTTCTTACAACAGTGAGCAGAACATCCTCCCTCCCTGTCCTCATGCAGCTGATGGGCATGGGGCACAGACACCGAGTGCCTACAAGTCAATACACACCTAAACCGAAGACAGCCCCTGGAGGAGGGCCTGCCCCGGGCTATGCCATTCGGGCTTTTTCTAAAGAGAATAACTTGGGGTATCAGGTGAAGTTTAGGGGGAGTCCACGCTCCTAAACCAGGCCTGCCAAGTTGGCCACTGTTAGGGGTTGGATTATGTTTCCCCCAAAAGATATGTTGGGAGTCCTAACGCCCAGGATCTGAGAGCATGACCCTGTTTGGAGATCGGGTCGTCATGCAGGAAAGAGGAGTCAGGACAGTCTGACTGGTGTCCTTATAAAAAGGGGAAATGTGGACACAGTGACGGGCACTCCGGGGGGCCATGAAGGAACCCAGCTGGTGATGCTTCTCCCAGCCGAGGCGTGGCCAAGGTGGCAGCAGCCACCTGAAGGGGAGGCGTGGGCAGCTCTTCCCAGAGATCCGTCGGAGCCAGGCCTGCTAATTCCCGTCTCAGGCTCCCCAGCCTCCAGAACTGTGAGAGAATACGTTTTTATTGTTTGCGTCATCCAGTCGGCGGCACTTTGTTATGACAGCCTGAGGTGACTAATCAGGCCACCACGTGGCCCCTGCCGGCTTCATTGCTGCCACTCCCCCACCATACAGTCCGGTCCATGGAAGAAGGACAAGCTGTTCTGGAGTGAACCTGCTGTTCCCTCTTCTGAGCTTCTGCACCTGCAATGTCCCTGCCAAGGAGTCGGCTGCCTCTCCATCTCCCCTGAGCAACCTGGCCCTGAGTTCTCCCTCCCAGGCCTGCCTCCTGCCCCGCCAGGCTCAGTCCTCCACCACCCCTCCCTCTTCTCCAAACTTGCTCCTCCAGGTCCCAGAGCCGACTCTCTGCTCTCAGAGCCTGGGACCCTGGGCATGCGTCCACAGTGTCAGTCCCAGATGCCACTCCCCACGGTTTCCCGGGCCTGAGTGAACACATGGATGCCACCCTTGCTGAAAGTTCTCACCACCCCGGGACCCTCTCATGAATCTCATTTCATTGCCCATCGACCAGGAAACAAGGGTCTTGTGGCAAATGACTGCAGGAGAGAGAAACTTTGTCTGTTTCCTGGGTTAAAATGTGGATTGTCATCAAAACGAAAAAACAAACAATAATTTCTCAGAGATGAGTAGGCATACAGCCCTGGGATACCATATCCCAGCAGGGCTCCATGTGGGGATCACACGAAGGCCCTTTAAAAAGGCCTGTGCGCAGCCCTGGCCGGGGTGGCTCAGTTGGTTGAGTGTTGTCCCATGCACCGAAAGGTCACTGGTTTGATTCCCGGTCAGGGCACATACCCAGGTTGCAGGTTCAATCCTCAGCTCAGCCTCCATCCACTGCCTCCCTGCCTCAGAGCACATGGCTACCACTGGACCTGCAGCCAAGACCCAGGTCACCCCAAGTCATCCAAGGCTCAGGGCAGTGCTTTCACTGAGTGCCTATTATGTAGCCCACAACCTTGGGGGGCCCATTTAAACATTGTTCTCCCCAAGTCATCGGCCGTGTCTTTGAGTCTGGGGAGGAGGTGAGATAGGCTGTCCTTGACCAGGGAGAAGGGCTCTCACCTGTGGCCAACCAGATCCACCCCCTCCATTATGCCTCTGGTTTCCTCTCTGTCCTTACAGTCCTCTCTCCTCTTGCCTGGATATTGCAGGGGCCTCCTCCTCCTGGCTGGCCTCCCAGCCTGCAGTCTTCTTGCAAGCCCTGGCCTAGACCAGGAGTGGGCAACCCCTGGCACGCATGCCAAACATGGCACGCCAGTAACTTTTGCTGGCACGCGAAACCCTGTCTTATAATCTTCCATTTACAATTGTGAATCTTTGTTCTCAGTGATACATTTTGTTAAGTCTTGTAATAGGAGTAGCCTGACGGATGAAAGTAGTAGCTCATGCATATCTCTGAAGGTCACAAAATATAAACCTGATGTAAAATCTCTGTCATCAGTGATTCAGCAGCAAAAGTCCCACTGATAATATCAAACGGAGTCATAAAGTTTTCTATCGGACTATCAGTGTACATGTATACATTAAACAATAAATGTATTTTTCATCATCATATACTGTGTTTTTGTCGCTCGAATGAATTTTATTATTTCTTCGAGGTTCTTCACATACATACACCTTAAGAGATATAAAGTAAGCGTAACATGTTCTTAAAAAATTAGGGTTGGCACACAGAAGAATTTTGAGTCAGAGATTTTGCTGGTTTTGGCACGCACTCACAAAAAGTTTGCCCACCCCTGGCCTAGACTTGAGGATGGTGCTGATCCTTCCCTGCCTTGCTCCTCCCCGCTCTGGGCCACCCTGTCCTGGGACATCCTTGCATGGGGCACTAATCTGCCAGCATGGCAGTATTACTGAGGCGCTGGCTCCCTCCCACTGTGCTCGCCTGGAGGACTGAATGGAAGGCTCTGCTCTCCTCTCCCTCCAGAGCCAGCCCAGAGCTGGTGGCTGGTAGCGCTCTATTGATGGAGCTCTTTTGCCAGCATGGTGCTGCTGTTATATTGGAAATCAGCGAGCTGAACAGAAGATGCCTTAGTAAGCCAAATTTGGAGTCTTTATTACACCAGTGGTCTCAGAGGAGTTGCCTCTCAAAGTCTGAGCAAAGCAACATGGAGGAAGCTTTCCCTTTATACCCTTTAGTTTCTTTGTCCCCCACATATGGACCATACTTCTGGACCTTACGCGGGCTTTGCAAAAAGCCCTATGTACTGGGAGATATTTTGCAGAAAGTTTGTAGCCTTGAGCACACACAATTCAGTAACCTTGAGCACAACACAATTCAGATAACTAAAAGACACCTGGCATGAGAGTAACCAGGGATGGACCAGACCCTTATGTCAGCAGAGCGGCCCACAAGGCCAGATAATTGAGCTTATTTTCCCTCTTATTTGAGCAAGTGTGTTTACAGAAGCAAGAATAGCAGAGTTAATTCACAGAACAAAGGACCATCTATGCTTAGTGGAAGATTTCAAACAGCAGTTTTTACACTGTTTGAACGGGAACGAGATGGAGTGCCCATGCTTCATGGCAGAACTGTGACCAAGAGGCCCCTGCCCGGTGCCCCCCACGCCTACCCTCATCATTATCGCTGTTCTTTGAGCACTTGCCTCGTGCCCCTCACTGGGAGGCCCCCACTGCCGTCACTCCTTTATCCCCCACAACATCCGTTGGAACTGCCATGTGCGATGCGAGGCCTGGTGGCCAAGAGGGGAAACACTCCGGGGAGGGGTGACTTGTCCAGACCTGCACAGCCCCCTGGGGATGATCACAGGACAGGCCGGGCCACCTTAAAGAATACCCCCCTCCCAGGTGAAGAACACCTGTGTGGGTGGGGCCAACAGGGGTGTCTGAGCAGCTGAGGGCTCCTTGGTGGTTTCAGACCACAGAGTGACAGGAAGTCTCCCTCCTCTTAGAAGCCTTTCGTCCTCAGTGCTGAGCCTGTCTGGGGGTGGCACCTGCCAGGCAGGCGGAGGCAGGCCTGGGAGCCTGTCCATGATCTGCAAATGTGCCCATCACCGTCTCTGGATACTGGAGCCCGATACCTCACCAAAAGCCGGGCCACCAAGTGGTCCCATCACCACAGAACTTACCACCACAAAGGACACGCCACAGCATGGGTCCTTCCCATGTCATAGCATGGTCCTTCCCATGTCATAGCATGCCTTTCCATGTCATAGCATGGTCCTTCCCACGCCACAGCATGGGTCCTTCCTATGCCACAGTATGGTCCTTCCATGTTACAGCATGGTCCTCCCATGATCCCTCAAGGTGATGGCAGAGTCGGGGAGGAGATGAGGAGTTGGAGTTAGGGGCCCGGCCTCAGTCCTGAGGGGACTCTGATTCACCCTGTGTCTTGAACAGCAAGACCCCCGACCTGAGCCTCGGCTTCCTCAACTGTCTGATGAAGGCTTTGCTGAGGCTCAAGCACCCACCCTCCCAGGTGAGGAGGAACAGTGGCCATGAGGACCAAGGAAGTTCGGGGGAAAGGGTGTGTGATCAGAGGTCAATGGCAAGAAACCCAAATATATAGAAATGCCCAGGACATTGGGGAGTTTTAAGATGTTCAGTTCCCAACTGTCCCTGCAGGGGGCAGCTGGCATAGAGACAGACTGCGGAGATTGATGCATCATTGGATTTTATTGATGTTAACACAGCGACCAAATTGTGCCTGGCGTTTAACAGGGCGTGAGAGTGAGCAGGACGTCTTCTCTCACAGTGTCTGTGCTACAGAAGTTGTACCTGTGGAGAAAAAGGAACCCTCTTTAAGTGCTGGGCTTGCTTACTTAGTGATTAGACTTGTTCAGCAAAGGGATTTGCTGATTTACAATTCCAAAGCAAGGAGGGAAGCATCAGGGTTATAGCCTCAGCCAATTACTGGAGAAGTGATTGCCTTCTGGGCTGCCAGTGACAGGCAGCTGGGCTCTAGGACAGGCCAGCTGTTACTCAGAAGTGGCCCTGGTCTCTGGGTCCTCTGTCCCCTCTTCTTCTCCACAAGCACATGCAGGCCCTCCACAAACACTGGTTTCCAGCTGGGCTCACCCTCGGCTCAGCCACTCTGGGGATCTGGCTGAACAGTATAGTAGCTACAATACATTGTGCTCTTACTGGCTGCAGACAATGACCCTCAGTGGGATTATCATGAGTCTTACATTACAGGAGAGGAAACTGAGGCACAGAAGACTCTCAGTTAACAAATGGAAGAACCAAGAAGTAAATATCTGATGACATCGGCCACATTTCTGTGGTAGAGTCCCACTTCAGACCTCTCTTGACCTTGCCTTCCATAACTTGACTTTCTGGGGTGAGTTGTCCCTACCAACAGGAATCTCTGCAAACACCCTTAGGCACAAGCCAGCAAAGATACATACACAGTCTTCTCTTCTCCCTTTTGCACGGTGATCTTGGATGCACCCACTTTGGGGAGGGTGGGGTTTACCACATGGTTATTCCAAAGGAACTTGACTTTCTGAATTGTTCCCACGTCCAGGTCTGCGTCAAACTCATTGGAATGGGTGGAGCCTGGTTTGAGGACCCCCCTTGAAAGAGAAATAGGAGCATTTTCCTTCATAGAAACAACTTCCAGTGACCAAATAAGGCCACACCGCTCTTTTCTACTCTGAATTAATGAGAGTATTTTTCCAAATTGATTCCCAAATAAAGGATGGAGAAATGGAAAAATCAAACCAGAAATCAAACCATTATTTAAGTGTTGGTTACGCAAACTCAGGTCAATTCTCTTCAAAAATTTCTTATAGAAAATTATATAATTCCTTCACATTACTTTTTTCTGGAAGAATTATTTATATAGTGACACGTTAGCCACTTGGTTTAACATAAGGACATGCTACTAAACAAATTAGAAAGCATGATATCTGGAGTAATAGCTAGATTTGTTTTTTAGAAATATGACCTATTGAGCGAGAAAGAATGAAATGCCTGGATTTATAATAGAGGGGGAAAAGTTGTTAGTGGAAGTCTGAAATGAACTTTGGTTCACAAAGGAAAGAATTTAAAATCCATTGACAGGTAAAGAGATGATGAGCATTTAAGTGATGGATCTGAAGGCCCTGTACGTCATCAGATGAGATGGGGTGCTAAGATAGGAAATTTACCTGAAGATATCATATTGGTGAGTGTTACCCTTATTTCCAAACAGAGCAACTTTGACCTGACCAGTGACCATTCTCCCAGACATTGTGATGGAAACCCCGTATCTCCAGCCTGCACAGGGGATGGAAGAGTTCGGGTTATTCATGCACAAAATACTTGACCCACATCTCAGATGCCTGTCTCTGACCCTTACATTGATTGAGGCATCAAAGTGTAAGAGATTCTACGTGTTAACCTACAACTCAAAGTAGGCCCGAGGGGAAATAAGTATTTAGCAGTGTCTCCCTTCAGATCTGCACGGCCCAGTCAAGGGGCCACTAGCCAGACATGGCTGCTGAAATCGAAATCCAAATTAAATCAAATTACAAGTTCAGTTCTGCAGTTTCACTAGCCACATGCTGAGTGCTACATTGCTGCCTGGGGTTAATGCCACTTCTATCACTGCAGAAAGTCCTTTGGGACAGTTCTGCTCTGAGTGACAGTCCCACGAGTTAAGGTGAAAAGAGAAAGGATGGCTCGTGCCCTCACCTGGAACTCTAGCTCAGCAGTATTGTCCTGGGAGCCTGGAACGGGCAGTGCCTGTGTCTTATCTCTGTCTCCCCAGGACCTGACAGTGTCCAGCACCGAGTGGGTCTCAGTTGTCACCCAGATTTATACCTGGAGTGCTGCCTCTGCCCACGAGCACACATACATACACACAAATCTGTATACATACTAGAGGCCTGGTGCACAGATTCGTGCAACGGTGGGGTCCTTTGGCTTGGCCTGAAGGGATTGGGCCAAAACTGGCTCTCCGACATCCCCCGGGGGGGAGGGGGGGTTCCCAGATTGCAAGAAGGTGCAGGCCAGGCTGAGGGACTCCACCATTGCATGATTGGGGCCAGGGAGGGACTGTGGGAGGGCTCCAGGGTGTGTCCGGCCCGACTCACCCAGTCCCGATTGGCCGGACCCCAGCAGCAAGCTAACCTGCCAGTCAGAGCGTCTACCCCCTGGTGGTCAGCACGCATCATAGCGACTGGTCAAACGAACGGTCGGACTCTTAGCATAGTAGGCTTTTATTATATAGGATAACCACACACTAACATTATATACATATAACCACACACTCACATATACAAACACACACTCATACACACATGTACACACACATCACACATCCTTTGTATAAACACACATACAGCCCTAACTGGTTTGGATCAGTGGATAGAGTGTCGGCCTGCAGACTGAGGATCCTGGGTTGGATTCTGGTCAAGGGCATATGCCCAGGTTGTGAACTCCATTCCCAGTAGCGGGTGTGCAGCCCGCAGCAGATCGATCAATGATTCTCTCTCATCATTGATGTTTCTATCTCTCTCTCCCTCTCCCTTCCTCTCTGAAATCAATAAAAATATATTTTAAAAAACACACACACACATACACATACACACATCTTTTGCTTAATTCCTATTTGTCCTCCACATCCTCAGAGATGTTGTCCCTGTCCCTCTGGTCAGGGCCCGCCAGGCACAACACCCTTATAGCTGCTGGCTCCGGTTCTGTCTTCGCTGTTGGGCTATAAATTTCATGCGCAGCATGTCTTGTTCCCTGCACCCCCAGGGTCTAGCATAGTCTGATTTCCATCCACTAATGCTGGTTGAGGAATTAATACAAGGTATGTGAATGCTTAATTTGTTGTTAACTATGGGCAAGTATGTCATGCATCACTGCATCAGGGAAAGGACTGATTAACCAGTGTCTTTTTAAAAATGTACCTGGTGATGGAAATGTCCTATGTCTTGATTGTGGAGGTAGTTACATGATTAGTCATTTGTCAAAACTCATAGAACTATCCACTAAAAAGGGTGAATTTTGCTGTAAAAAATATGTCTCAGTAAACCTGACGACTATATAAAGCAGGTTTTATATTCATGTATTTATATAATATAGCCTCGTTTTTACAGTGAAACATCTTAGGGACCCATCATGGGCAGGGTCCATGCAAAGTGACCCAAACATGCCCGGTTTGTACCCCATGACCTAGTCCATCCAGCAGGTTTTTGAGAGAAATCACCCCTTTCTGATTCCCATCCACTCTCCACCAGAGGGGCAGCCCCTGGGTACCAGGTACTGGTGGATGGGGGGTGGGAGGGGAACGGAGAGACTGGAGTTGGGCTTCTTAAGGGACTCAGCCCAGCAAAGAGCTGGTAACAAGTAAATATTTGTTGAATTAATAGAAGAGCAGGTGCATGTATGTGACATAATCTTAAGAGTAAAGGGGGTCAAATATATGGTGATAGAAGGAGACTTGACTTTGGGTGGTAGGCACACAATGCAATATACAGGTAATGTATCATAGAATTTTACAATTGTACACTTGAAACCTATTTAATTTTATTACCCAATGTCACCCCAATAAATTTAATTTTAAAAAATGGAAAAAAGGGACCATGAACTGTGGAGCAGTAAAAATTCAGGGTAGATGCCACAGAGACATACAAATTGCTGCTATCGCATTAATTATACTATTTGCTTCCACTCATTTCATGCCACAGAAATAAAATGGGAGAAATGCAGGCTCTTTCTAAATCCCTAGGCGAGTCTTAAATGGGATGGTTTGGGTGGATGTGTCCTTTTTCTAAGATCATAAAAATGTGTCCATAAATGTTTCAGGTCAGAGACAAGCCCTTTGCTTATAACAGAAACTAAGCTTCCTTTAGCCGGGAGGGACAGTCTAGGTGCAACTTACGGGCAAAACTGCTGGAATCGCCTGTGTTCAGGAAGTATTTCTGCTCCTCCGGGCTTGCCTTGCCAGCAAACTTATCGGCGTAGTGGCCCATCTGCGGGCACCCTTCGTCTGGGCAGGGGAAGCACTTGTTCTAATGAGAAGAGACACATCAGGCTGTAAGGAGTGAATTTGTCTTTTTAAGATCCATCCGTCCAGGGGAGCAATTGTCCTATAGTCTGAGCTTCTTCATTTGTAAGCAGAAGGGAACTGGAAGAGATGATCTGGAAATTACCTATGCAAGCCAGGGGCACATACATTAGAACTGCTTGGGGAGCTTTAGAAAATAAGGATGCCCATATTTAGAAAACACTGGGCCCCATGTTCCAGGGGTCCTCAAACTACGGCCCGCGGGCCACATGCAAATACAAATATTGTATTTGTTCCCGTTTTGTTTTTTTACTTCAAAATAAGATATGTGCAGTGTGCATAGGAATGTGTTCATAGTTTTTTTTTTAAACTCTAGTCCGGCCCTCCAACGGTCTGAGGGACAGTGAACTGGCCCCCTGTTTAAAAAGTTTGAGGACCCCTGAATACACCTTCCAGGGAGTGATGTGCTGGTGAATGGTTAACAGACAACTGTGGGACAAAAAACAAACAAAACGAAACCCAACCAATCCTGATTGCAGTGTTTGCCAGTTTCCATGGTGTAAATACTCTGACGGTGGCCGTTTTCAGGCTACCAACATGATGTCGCTGAATGTGGCAGTGGGAAGAGACTGCTCCCACCGGCTCTCATGAGCCAGAACAGGCAGGCTCCAGAATGCCATTCCCTCCATCTCTCCCTTCGCTGCTGGCTATGTGAGCACAAAGTCCCGGCCTGGCATTGAACCCCAGCATCCGTCTTTCCTTCCACCACCACTTTGCACCTCATGTGAATTCACCTCTTGTACATTCTTCTGTTCTTGCTCTGCCCTGGCCAGACACAGACACTCCTTCTCTGCCTTCGAAATGTGATTTTACAGAGTCAAACATTGCCTCCTGTAGGAAGCCTTTCTAGATCTTCAAATGGACTGCTCTTTTCTCTGATTTTCCAGAGTCTTCCTCACCCACGTGACTCATCTAGAGTGCTGGCCACCGCCTACAGCTTTGTTTCCCTCCTCCCCACAGGACCAGGAACTCTGATGGGCCAGTCCAAACAAGGAGAGGAGGGTCAGAACCAAGAGAGCAGGTACTGCAGATTCCAAACACAGCTGGACCACAGTTCCACAGTGGGACCCGGCATGGGGCAATAACTCACCGACTTAAAGGCCCTGTAGGAAGCGCAGGGGTACGCAGTGAACCCATCAGGATTGAGGATGCTTTCCGCGTAATACTTGTAGCTTCTTAGGTGATTGCAAGCCACAAAGTCCTTGGTTCCTGGGGAAACAAATGAAGAAGTCCACACAGGTGGTCAGGGAGCTGTGACAGCGTCTCTGCCTCTCCAGGTGGGATGGTTCCAGGGTGGGACTGTATTTTCAGAAATTTCAGGTCAGTCCCAAGTCCAGCAACATTAATGCAGTTAGCACATAGAGGGTGCTTTCTGTGTGCTGGGCAGTGGTACTGAGAACGTCACATGGATCGTCCATGTCCTCCTCACCCTTCCTAGGAGGTGGATACCATCCCATCCCTAACTGCAGGAAGACCTATAAATGACACACTCAGATTTCAGTTTACAGCTTGCAAATGGCTGAGCTGGGAAGTAAACCCAAGCCCATGTGAGTCCACACCTCTACCCTCTGCCATCCTGTGTCCCAGGCACCGAGCTGGAGGTCCTTGAAGACACAACCAGATGTGACATTGACCTCCGAGACATGCTAAAATAGAGTGACAACATGTTCATGCAAATGAAGAGGAGGGCTGAGTAGCTTTAGGTGGCTGTATATGAGCATCCCTACCACTCTCACGCATCTCACTCCTTACAATCCTCCTTGGCTTCCGTAACTCCTGCCAAGGGACAGATTCCTCCTTTCCAGGCCTGGGCTGAACTTGCTTGGCCATCACTGATGGAGAGTTTAGGCTGCCCTAACCATGCAAACCCTCATAAAGCTATAAAAGACAAACCTACAAGTCTTATCCTCAATATTTGCTTTGATAGTGTCCGTACTTGCCAAGCCATTTCGATTGAATTCAATAAAAATCTTTACTCATTAGATCTGGTCAGATCACCAAGGGTTTTGACCTCTATGATGCCAAATGATGCCTCTGGTTGAAAAACTTGCCTATCCACTGTACTTTTAACATTATTAAGAGCTGCATCTGAAGAATGCCCTTTGTCCCAGGGCTCTTGATCAATGACAAAGACTAACCATCTCGAATAGCCCAGTCTCCATGCTAACCTTCCTCAGGTGTGATTGCTTCTCATTCTTGACTCAACACTGGGGAATGGTGACTCTCACTGTGCAAATGGAAACGGAAACGAAGCCAGTTGCATAAGCTTGAAGCATACCACTGACTCCCAAGGGAGAAACTGGCAGACAAATTCTCTTGGAGTCAGGATGTTTACTTTTATCGTTTTCCCTTACTTTGTTATGTGTATCTACCAATTTATTGTTGGAGTTAGAGCTTTAAGCAATGGTTTGATAATTCTTTGTTGCTTGCACACTCCAGGACATCACAACAATGTTTTATGGAAGTACAAAATCAGCAGAACTTAGATACAACAAATGATATATAGCTATAGTTTTCAGAATTAAGGTCTAGAAGGGGGGTTGTATATTTAAAGAGCAGAGTGTTTTACTTGTTAAGATTTGCTGTGGGAAAGGCGCTGTCACCCCAGCAAGGCAGTGTGCCAGCCTGGCTTTACCTGACCAGATGCCGTCCAGGTCCACAATCTGTGACAAGGCGTTCTTCTTGCACCCCGGCATCTCCTCTCCTCCATTGGGGAAGAAGTCAAGGTGACCAACCAGTTGACTGGTTCCAAAACCTGAAACGTGTGGAATAACAATGAGCTTTTTTCCAGTGCATGGTTCTCCTGGGTAAAACCCACCTGCACATGCGCACGGCTGGAGCATCATTGGCCTCACCCAAGGAGGGGATCAGAGGAGCTGCATCTGTGTGAATCACATCCACAAAGGCAGCATCGGAGGGATCAAGTCGGACCTCTTCAGAAGTACCCTGGAAACTTGCTTCTACCGGATCCAACCCTAAGAGAGATGGTCAGTGCTGCAGACCACAGGCCTCACTGTGGTGGCCACAGGACCGAGATGTACAGCTGCTCAGGCCATGCACCGTCTAACCAAAGGGGTGCCACAACCCGGAGGTGTCCAGTGTCATGGCCACCTGGACACAGAGTCTCAATTGCTCATCGCAAGAGGGCTCCAGGGGCATGGAGAGGGAAGGGCAGATGAACAAAGACATTTAGATTTTTTCTTTGGAGCAGGGATTTTTTTTTCTACATCAGATGCTCTCCTTTATTTATATATCTTTCTTCTTCAACATTATCTTTCACTTCCCAAATTTGAAGCAAAAGGGGGGCAAAGCCGTGTGGTATTGTAGATAAGAGCAAGATTCTGGGACTGGGTGCCTGGCTCCAAGCCCTACTCGGCTACTTCTTGGGCAAGTTGCATGACCTTGGGTGAATCACTTGACCTTTATTGTGCCTCTGTTTCCCCACTTACAAAATGGGGGTAATAATGGCATCTATTCCACATGGTTGTTGTAAGATTAAATGAGTTAATATATGGAGCATTAAGTGCCTGGCACACCATCATGGCTGTATAAGGAAAATGTTAATTATTATTATTTTGTCTTGACTATAGTTCCTTCTTGGAAGGGCTCTTGGATTTGTCAACAGTTGTTTTTTTGGTTTTTTTTTGAAGGTTTGGTCAGAGCAGCCAAAAAGGCATGAACATAGCTAGTCCACTGAATAGAAAAGGGAAAGTCCTTACAAAGGTAGAGACTTGTTTGAGCTGAATGACAGCAAAACGGGGTCTGAATCTCAGTTCTACCTCTAGTGACGTAACCTTGGACAAGCCACTCCCTTTCTTGAGCCGTTTCTTTGGTTCTGAGGATTAAATGAGAAGGTGTAAAGCACTGTGTGTGGTGTGTGGGGATAAGTCGACACTTAAACTATGCTAACTATAACAATTATATTATTATTATTACTCAGATATCTTTTGTTGCTATTGTTACAATGTGAAGGCTTTCCTTGGGCTAAAAGGATGCTTTTGGCCTGTTGTTGGCTGGGTTTCTTGTCCCAGCAGAGACCAGGGAAGCATACTTCCCATGTTCTATTCTGCCCTTGATTTCAAAGAGCAGGGGCGAGAGGAATGACAATATGGACCCTTCTGAATTATACCAGCCCACGTTCATACCAGCCTAACTCTGCCTTTTCCCGGGTGCCCAGTCCTGCTGAGCACCCCACATCACCAGGAAACTTGGTTTTAGAGAGAAGGGACAGGGGCAGACGCGGAAGTAGCAGAGAGAAACAAAGAGGAATGAAGCCACACCCCCTGTTTCCCGGGGCCTCCTGAAATGCCTGGTGCAAGTTCCCTGCTGTGGCCAAGGGGGACAGTCTCCTTCGGGCCAGTTCTGAGCTGGGCTGCAGTCTTGTACCATGTCATGGGGTTACTGGGGACAAAACCCAGGGCCCCGCCCCTTGGGCCTTACCGGTGATCCTGCCCAGGCCTGGGGTCCTGCTCCCTGCCTCTCCAGCCACGTGGGCTCCCAGGCTGTGGCCGATGAGGTGAACTTGGGAGGGTGAGTAGCTGTAGTTTGTCTGGAGAGGGAAGATGGCATTTTGAGGACATTTCTGTGTGGTGGTTTTGGGGATGTGCAAACCTGATACTGTGACTCCTCTGCTAAGGCCTTCTGTGGCTCCCCCTTCCCTTAGCATCAAGTCCAAGCTCATTACCAGGGCCTCAGAGCTTTCCTGACTCAACACGTGTCCTTCTAGACTCTTCTCTAGTGAACCCTTTGGGGAACTTTCAGGACCTCAAATATGTCACAGTCTCTGATCTCTGGGCCTGGTTCAGAATTCTCTTCCTGTGGTTGTCCATCTCCCCAACTACTTGCCCAGCTCTCATCCACACAGCTCACATCAGCCCCACCCCTGCCCCAAACGGATCAGCTCGACCCACCCACCTGCTTCCATATAGCCCAGGACCCTCCCTACCAGAACCTGACCACACTCTATTGTCAAGTCTCCACTATAAGCTCCTCCAGGGTCTGGGTCCTCATCCATCCTCTTCACCTCCTAGCACAGCTCCTGACCCTGTACCCCCAAAGTAGTGGATGAACAAACATAACATAGAGGTACGAGCTGTTGGCACATGTTGGTCTCACTGATGTTCATCTAAATATACTCGTTTATTGGTCTCCAGTGCCTCTAGTACAAATACCCCGGCTTTTGATTGCTGCAGGGGTAGTTAGAACCAATTGGTTCTTTCATAGACTCTTGAAATATAAGACAGAAGTGGCTGGGACCTTTATCTGGTAGACAAAAGAGTCACTGAAAATTAGGGACTTAGACAAAGAATTAGGGAAAAGGAAGACCAGGGCAGGAAGACACAGCTGAATTGATTGTGCAGAAGGGGTTCCCCAGCATCAACAGGACCCCCAACAACGGGCCAGTGGAGTGGTACATGCTAACTGTACACAGTCCTTCAGCTCCACTGGCTCTCCCTGGACAAGCTGTTTCCCCCAAACAGAGCCCACTTGGTATAGTGGGACCCCTGGAGCTAGATGCTTGGGGCCCAAAGATAACTCATATTCATCTGCTCCATGAGGGGGCAAACCAGTTAAGCTTTCTTGTCTGTTCATCGAAGGCAATACAAAAGCCCCCAGTGTGCGCTCTTAGTGCTTTCCCTTCCTCCCAGAAAATCCACTCAGGCGAATTTCAGAGTTTTCGAAGTAAGACACGAGGAGAAATATCAATTCTTTCTCACTCTTCTTTAAATCTATGCCAGCGGCATCTTGACCCAAGTGAGACCAGGGCCCCGCCTGCCTCCTGGGCGGCCCCACGGCCCCTCCACTCACCTTGAGCACGTCCAGCATCTGGGCCACCTGGGCGCCCACCACGCGCACGTTGTTGACGGCCTGCGAGTAGGTGGTCTGCGAGCCCTTCTTCCAGTCCACGCAGATGCAGTTCACCTCCTCCACCTCGAACATGTTCTGGTGGGAGACAGCAGGTGTTATCGCGCGGGCCCTTGAAGCCACATCCAGCCAGGGCTCAGGGACCGACGCTAGCAGCTGCGACTGGCCGTGCCCTGTCCTGGCCTGGGTGGGCGCTGAGATCAACTAGACGTAGGGAAGCCTGTTGTCAGTTAGGAGTCACCCCGGGTGAATGCACACAGATTCTCTCTCCAGCTGGTAGGAAAGCTGGCCGCTTCGGTTTTCTCCCCCCAAATTCAATAAGGCTGCTTCGGTGGGGGGAACAATTCCATCCCTCACAGAGCCCCATTTGGAAAAGGGAAGGCCTCATGTGCAACCTCTGGGGGCCAGTGTCTAAATGTCCTTGTGGGTCTGACCTCGAGGGGCCCTTTCAGCCTCTGCCAATCGCCGGGCTTGCCTTCAGCCCAGCCTGCTGGGCCTGGACTAAGTTGGAAGGCAGAGGGAAGCATTATTGATTTTAGGGTCAGGGAAGCATAGACTCTCATGGAGAGAACACATGCTGAACATATTTGAGAACTAGAACTGCCCTGACTTGAAAGAAGTTGAAGAATTCTGAAAGGAAAACTTCCTGGAGGTTAAAGGAACTGGTGTGTCCTTAGATGTCCCACCAGGCGGTGCGCATGGCCAGCTGGAATTTGAAACGGTCCCTATAGAGACAGGAAGCATGGAACAGACTGCTTCCCTCAGAGGGAAGGCGGGGGAGGGTGATGGGCGGGAAGAGATCAACCAAAGAACTTGCATGCATAGATGCATAACCCATGGACACAGACAATGGGTCGGTGAAGGCCTGGGGCAGATGGCAGGGATGGGTTAGAATAGGTCAATAGGGGGAAAAAGGGAGCAGATGTCATACTTTCAACAATAAAGATTAAAAAAAGAAAAGAGCCCTAGCCAGTAGGGCTCAGGGGATAGAGCATCAGCCTGCGGACTGAAGGGTCTCAGGTTCGATTCAGTCAAGGGCACATGCCTGAGTTGCGGGCTCGATCCCCAGTGTGGGGCATGTAGGAGGCAGCCAATCAATGAGTTTCTCGCATCATTGATGTTTCTATCTCTCTCTCCCTCTCCCTTCCTCTCTGAAATCAATAAAAATATATATTAAAAAAAGAAACGGCCCTACAAATGTAAAACCACTCTGAATCTTTTCACATCTATGATACGAATATGTGCGCTCACACACACAGGGATACAGGAGGTTATTCCACAGGACTTTTATTTTTAAAGCAACCCTGAGGAACCTCTGGAGAACTGGGGCATCCGCTATATCTTATAGTTTATACACTGAAGTGCTTATTCATGGTGAGACAGAGAGTTAAATGCCTGGAAAACCAAGGGCAAACACAGAATGCCTTCAATTTTCTGGTTTGTAACTTTTCCTGGTGGCGTTATAGATCAGGGTTACTAATGGTGTGCTGGGTAAATGCTCCAGTGCCAGAAAAGTAGACTGAACCAGTGTATATACACAAAAAAGGAGAATAGTATATTCTCTGTTTGTGCCTCTGCACACGTGTCCACGTGTGTCTGTGTGTTTGCATACGTATGTATGTGCACATGAGTGTGTTTGCCTGCTGCCTGTTCTTCTGACCAACAGGTGCTATGTTACATACAATTTGGGCAGTTTCTATGCTGCCCTTTTAGTCACCGGCCAATCTCAGTTTTTCGTTCTCACAGAAATGGCCCTAGCAACACGCGCCTGACTCTCAGGGATGGGGGAAAGATCTGAACGAAAAGAACAGAATTCCTCCTAGACAGGATTCCAAACGCCCTCATGGACAACAAGGCAGCAGACAACACTTAACCTTGATGCAGCCAGAAGCGAGGAAGCATCTGTCTACATAACAGGTGGCATCGTTTCGGGGTCGAGATGCAGTCCAGTGGGAAGGAAATTTTACTTTCGTAAAGAGGAGCTGAATTGCATTTCGAGCTCATTTACTGCGACTGCTTAAAGGGATACAGGGACGTTGGCGGGACGCAGTGGCAGCGGCTGGCAGAGCGGGCCACGGGGACGGGAGCCGGCCCCTACCTTGCACATCTTCAGCACCCAGCTCTCATCGCCCTTGTCTATGAAGCCGTGGATGATGAAGCGGGTCTTCCTGTCTGTTTGAAAATTCGATGCCTCAATCGTTGATGGATCAGAGGGAAGGAGATTCTGTGACAAACGCAGAGGGATTGCATGTTTTTGCAGCCCAACCACTCAGGACTGCCTCTCTCTTCCATTTTCTACTTGTCCCAATGCTATAGCCTTCCAAAATGTAGCACAAAGGCCACCTCTTCCATGAAGCCCCCCCGACCTCCCTTTTCCTGCCCCACCTTCCCATGTCAGGACTCACTGCCTCCACTGGGTCTGGATAGTGGCTCAAGGTCTTACCTTTCACAGCATTCTCTGGTAAGCTCACTGCCCAAAACTGTGTCCCATAACCAGCTAGAGGTTCAGGGGAATGTGAGCCATTCATTCATTCAAGCCAACTTTTTACTGAAGACCTACTCTGCCCAGGCCTGAGGGTGCAGCTGGAGGGCTGGGGTGGGGCAGAGTGTTATGGAGGAGGTGGGTACAGAGGAAAGAGACTCCTGGTGTGCGGGGTGGCACAGCCCCTACCCAGTTACAAGGATGTTGAAAAGACAGCGGCCTCACCTGGAAGGTGTCTGGGTTCTCGTTGGTGTAGAGCAGGAAGCGGGTGCCGATCTTCTCGGGGCTCCAGGGAAGGACTTTCAGGGGCCTGATGACAGTCCCACCCCAGGGCTCAGAGTCGGAAAAGCAGCCGAGCCGACCATAGCAGATTTCTTTTCCTGTGGAGAAAGGGTGGCTTGCTCAAGGGCTAACTCTAGAGCTGGGAGCTGGGACGTCACCGCTGCTCCGCCTGGTCACTCCCCTGCCTGGGGACAGTCTGAAGACCGTGCAGATGCCCGCCTCTGCCCCACCCGTATTTTCTTGCCCTCAGTGCCACCTTCTGGTCCGGGACCCGTCCCATTGAGTCAAAGGCCTATGTCCCAGCTCAGCTCTTCAAATATATTTATTTAACTAATGTGGGAATGGGCACTGGTAAGTCAATTTGTTAATTCAGGCAGGTGTTTAATGCTTTCCCTAGAAAAGTCTGGCCTAGGGCACCCCGGGCATGAAGGCAGGATGCTGGGGAGATGCTGCAAAGTGGGTTCCCCCCCATACTGGCCTCGCTCCCAGACAGTGCCAGCCCCACCCGCCTCTGTCTGGATCTGAAGTTGCCCCCAGCTGCCAGAAGCCCTGTCAGGTCTCAGTGTCTCTGGCCGGAGCTGAGACGGAGGGGCTCCAGTTCTCCCCAGGGGGCAGGTGTGCTGTTTCTCACCTTGGGCTGCTCCCAGCAGGAAGAGCGCGATGGCCCAGATGCTCACCATCTGCAATACATTCAGATGTTATCAGCCTCATCAAGTGGTGCCAGGGCAACGAGCAGACTCAGGGATGCCAGGCTATTTGCCCGGCCTCTCCTCCACAGATCGTGGGAGAATGGCCAAGGGGACTTACCCTGTCAGACGGTCCAGGCTTCCTCTCCCTCTGGAGCCAGTGCCCGGGCCGGCTTTTATACCCCAGCTTTATCGTCTGGACGCTGCCTCAAGGAAACAGCAGGTGATGATAAAACATGCTGTGTGCACTTAATAGTTTAATCTGTACATACACACAGAACGAGGTTAATAATCGTGGTCCGATCTTTCCACAAGCCTGGGAAGAGGAAAGAATGCTTGATTAAAAAGGGGTCCAAAGTCCCCAGCTTTATACCTATGTACCTGTGCGTGTACTTGTGAGCCAAATGGGCCCCACTTTCTGATTTTCTATTGCATCACTAAGTGGTATGCAAGTTCCAATGAGGTCACCGCAGCAAACTGGAGGGCAGCATTTCCCACTGAGAAGAGATGGATGCGCCCCCACATAGGTGAATGTAAAGGGGAGTGTCTGATTAAGAAACACCTCCTCTCTGTGTCTCTCTGTCTCTGTCTCTGGCAGTCTAGTAATACCCAAAGACATGAGCTTTGGAGATACATTCAACAGCCCCACAATAGCCTCTGACCACAATTCCCCATTAATTACCTATCCCAGTTATCTACTGCGTTGTAATGAACCAACTCAAAACATAGTGGTTTAAAACAACAGCAGCCTGGTCGGTGTGGGTCAATGGGTGAGCATCAACCTATAAATCAGGAAGTCACCATTCGATTCTTGGTCAGGGCACATGTCTGGGTTGCAGGCTTGATCCCCAGTGTAGGACATGCAGGAGACAGCTGATCAATGATTCTCTCTCATCATTGAATTCTCTATCTCTCTCTCCCTCTCCCTTCCTCTCTGAAATCAATAAAAATATATTTTAAAAAAACAATAGCAATTATTCTATTATCTCACTGTAATTTTTAAAAAATATATTTTTATTGATTTTTAGAGAGACAGAAAGGAAGAGAGAAAAACATGGATGTGAGATCTGAACATTGATTTCCTGCGTCCTGCATGCTCCCCACTGGGGATTGAGCCTGCAACCCAGGCAGGTGACCCGACCAGGAATTGAACCTGCAACCTTTGGGTGCATAGGGCAATGCTCAACCAATTGAGCCACACCAGCCAGGTCCATTGTGAATTTTGGGTTCAGGGGCCTCTAAAGCCCATGTCACCAGACACGGTCACATCTGCTGGGTTTCCCCAGGTCCTCTGAAGGTTACACACCCCATCTTGTAAGATCCAGCCTCTGTGAGGCCGTCATGAATTACCCACAGACATGCATCTGCGAGCAGCCTGGCCAGTTCACACAGCAGGCAGATAAGCCTTCTCATGGCAAACACCATTGGTGCCCTCTACCTCCCCAAGTTAAATATGCCCAGTGTCAAAGTTCACACTTCTCTAAAGTAACCAGAACACTGGGGGAGAAGAGGGGAGGGCAGTTAGAGAGGCTCCCCTGCTAAGAAAACAGAAAGGACTTCTCCCTGAATAACAAAGAATAGTCAGCAACAGCTATTAAGACTTAGAGCATGCAGTCAAGCATTTCACACATGTTTCTGAATTTGAGTCTTACAGCAACCCCATGAAGTAGGTACCATTATTTGTCTCCCTTTGCATATGTGGAAATTGAGGCACAGAAAGATTAAACTGTCTCTAAAGTCACATAGATCATGAGTGATGAGATGGGGTTTGAATCCAATCTGTACAGAGCGAAGTAAGGAACTGTTGAATATTCAGAGCAAGTTATCAACAAGATCTGTTGAGTGTCAACCACGCAGAATAGGAAAATTAGTTACATAGAATAAGTTGAAATAGGAAATAAATGTCCTGCTGAACTGCCAGACTTGGGCCATCTGGTTGACCTAAGTGATGACGTATTTAAGCTTTGGCAGTCTGTTCAGGTGGTCTAGGAGGGGCTGGCGCACTTTACACAGGCTGGGGACATCAGAGGCCTTTATGCTTTACTTGGACACGCAGTGCTGGCCCCGGAGGAGATTCGGGCCTAGTGAGTAAATAGGTAAATGAGTCTGTAGGAGTTGTTACATGGCCCTGATGCCTCTCACACCTCTTTCCTTCCTGCTTCCACTTTGCCCTTTACACATAGCAACATTGGCTTCCATCCAACATGCCTGGTCCTTTCCCACCTCGGGGCCTTTGTGCTGTTTCTATGGCCTGAAACTCTCTTCCCTAGACCTCCATTGGGCTGGCCCCTTCTGGTCGTTCAACAACTGGCTTTAATGTCACCTCTTCAGTGAGGCCATCTCTGACCACCCCTGCAGTTTCTCCACTGCCAGCCTCCCCACATGACCCCAGGAACTTGTTTGCTTTTTTTTAGATTTCTCATTACAAAGTATAATTACCTATCCTATTTACCTGCTTATGTATTTTCAGTCATGCTTTTCCCACCTAGAATGCAATTCCCTGAGGACAGAGACCTCATCTGTTTTGGCCACAGTTGGACCCCAGCTGCTGGCACCGTGCCTGGCACTGACGTGGTCAGGAGTTAATGCAAGAATGAATGTGCCATGAATGGAGTTCATGGGCATTTTCTCCTTCTTCTCAGTGAATTTCAGGGCAGAGAAAGATGAGAGGACACAGTTTTAAGAAGGGAGGAAAAAAGAGATGTTATTCTTCAGAGAAGCAGGAAGAATATGAACATCTGACTAGATTTAGGAGAAGTAATTATACGTGACCTGTCCCCTGCGCCTTTTTCCCTTTTAGCTCACCTCACTGCCAAGTTCATCTGTGGGCTCCATGCCCAACCCAAGGGAAGGACCCTACCTGTGGGGGTTCAGTGGTTGAAACCACCATAAGAGCTGGTGTGTTTTCTATTGGTGAGAATTTGTTTGTTTCCAATATTTTACTATTAAAAACAATGCCTTGGTGAATATTCTTATACATGTGTCACTTTCCACATGGATGGTGTATCTGTGGGATAAACTCCTGAAGTTGAATTTCAGGGACAAGAGATCTGTTCATTTCACATGTTTCTATGTATGTTGGCTATTCTCCCCACCCTCACTCCCTGAAACAACAGTGAAGTACAGACCATGAGCTATTTAAACAGGGAAGTTTTTAGAGGAATGTTATGGGTCTATTGGTTGTAAGCAACAGAAATCTATTCTGGTTTGCTACATTTAAAAAAGGAGAGATTATTTGAATGAATATTGGGAAATCTCATGGAATCCATGAAATTATTGAACCGTGAGACCCAGGGAAGCCCAGGAAATGGGGCCATCCTGGAGGCCTTAGTCCTCCTTAGATCCCCGCAGCCTTGGACCTGATTCTGCTGCCGGGACCCTGGCTTTGTGCATCTCAGCTCAGAATTCTTAATTACCAGGTGACTGGCCTGGCCAGGTCAGGAGCTGTCCCTGAATTAGTTAGCAATGGGGAATGACTCTTATAGGGCAGGCAGGTTGAGGCCCACCCCTGTGCACCCAAAGATGGAGCTAAAGTTGTGAACTGGGCAGCCACTACAAGAAGTGTGTGGCTCCACAGAAAGAAAATAACAATTTTAAATCACCTTACTCCACTAAATTTGTACAAAAGTGCGCAGTTGGTAGCTCAGTGCTGGTGAGGAGGGGAATTCTTTAAAAGTATTGTGATTGTTACACCTTGAAATAATGAAGAGGTGATTCACACGAGTTAGCAAAAGGGAGTGATATTGAGAATACCATGCTAACTGAAGTAAGTTAGATGGAAAAAAACCAAGAACCGTATGTTTTCACTTATATGTGGGATATAAAACTGCAAACAATAAATGAACAAAAACTCATAGACACAGACAACGGTATGGTGGTTACCAGAGGGAAAGGGTGGTAAAGGGGAAGTAGAAGAGGCTAAAAAGGGTCAAATATATGGTGACAGGAGGAACTTGACTTCGGGTGGTGAACACATAATGCAATATGCAGATGATTGTTCACTTGAAACCTATATAATTTTATTAACCAATGTCACCGAAATAAATTTAATAAAATTAAAAAAAAATAAAAGAGTGAATGATGACTGTGGAGATTGGATTTCCTGACCAGCAAATCTGATCAGGACTATTGTGTTGTTTTAAGACAAGAAGAAGCAACTCTCCATTCATTGCCATTAGTTGTTTGACAAGAAGCATGTCTTCATGGATAAAGTCCAAGGTCAGCGAATCAAAAAGGTGCCCTCACTTCTGATGACAGCAGTGAGGAAAAGGCAGTGTAAGAACATCAGAGACTGGGGCCTGGGCTAACCCATCACTGTAAAAACCCTTCCAACACCGGACCTATTTCTTCCCCAGTCCCAGGCTTCCCAGGATGGAGAACCAGGCTAGAGATGCTGATAGGTGGGTTGAGAAAATGGTCACAGTTCTCCACACTCTCCCCAAATATCCACACCCCCTGCAATGTGATCTTGCAGCTCCTTTCACCAACAACAGACGTTCATTTCCTTACGCCTTTGGCTAGATGGACGCCTGAATTTGGTCAGCAAATGTGATGGCAGTAACCACTTGGACCAGCTCAAAGCCAGCTGACCTCCGCGTATGTGAGAGACCCAGCCAGATTAACAGCACTGCTGACTCAATGCACTGTGACCACAGACACATGTGCCAAGACCAGAAGAAGCACCCAACTAACCCAGAGATTACTAACATATGCTTACTGTTTAATGCTACTGAGTTTGGTGGTGGTTTGTTATGCAGCAGTGGCTAACCAATACAGGAACCCAGCTCAGCCAGGCCTAGGATTAAGAGAGAGCAGCTGACATTGAACTCACTGTCACCATTCTTGGGCACACAGCACCAGTTCACCAGTAAGGGTGTATTCTTTCCTAACACCCACATTTTGTTAATATGCACCGTACTCTAATACACTGGCTCCTGTTTAAGTGCCCTGGGGGATATAATTGGACTAAGCCCCTAGCAAGACTGGGGCCTAATCTGCATCTTCTTTAGAGCCTCCTAGACCAAGTAATTCATTCCACACCAGATGGAAAGATTTCTAGATGAGGCTTTCAAACAATGTCAAAACACTGAAATATGTTGAATAAACTTATATCCCTCTCAGCTTTAGGAATTCGGGATGTGTATTCACACAAATCTATGGCTCTCTTTTGAAACTATGACTTCATTTCCACTGGAGAGCTGTATAGCTCGTTGAAGGTCACAAAGATATAGGTGAGGTCTCCGGCTGCCATCTGTTTGTCTACACATCCAGATGGAGCCAAACCACTGCTTTCCTACACCTGATCAGCTCTGTGTTTTACACTTTAATTTCAAGTTCAGAAGGTTCAGATACCTTGTCATTTCAATAGAGAACCGTCTTAGGAATTCTGGGGGAAGAATAGGGTTGGCTCAAGCTGGGTTCTCAGAGCCCCTTAATTCCAAAGAAGTGTTTTTGCTGAGAAAGGTGTTTTCTAAATCTTTCTCACAACCTAGATACTCACCTGTATTCAATTGAACCAGGCACATACAACATGCAACCCCCTTAAGGAATTCACAAATAGGATATACAGGCAAGTAAACAAGCAACTAATATGGAGAGATAAGTGCTGAGATGGAGAAAGTCCTAGGTACAGTGGGAATGTAGTGGGGTGACCTATAATCCAGTCTTCAAGGGTGTGGGTAACGGAGGTGAAGAAGGTCTTCCTGGAAGAAGGGATGTCTACACAGACAGGAAGTTAGTCAGTAGGGGTTAAATAGACAGGAAGACATGGGAAAGGACATCCTAGGGAAAGGAAGAGTTTGCACAAAGGTCCAGCAGCATCTGAGATCAAGGCCCTTTTAGGGTATGTAGAGTTCTGGAAAGGGTGTGGTGAGAAATGATGCTGGAGTCATAGGTGAAAACCAGACCTCAAGGGCCCTTGCAAGGCTCACTACGGAATGTGGATTCTATCTTGGGGACCATTGGGAGGATCTTTGATTTGTACGTTAGAAGAGAGAGTCTGAGGGAGCCCCACTGGGAACAGTTAGGAGAATTGGCAATCCCCAGTCCTCACCTCCTTATGTGTCATCGCTCCTGAGATGTCTGAGTAGGAGCAGATGGATAAAGCAGCAAAGGTGGGTACCCACCAAGAGGGGGTCATTTTAGACCTGGACACCTGCCTTAAGTAATCAGATTGACATCAGTAATAGTAGGTAATGGACAATGTGTCAGTATCAAGTAAACAATATTCCTCAGCTCAATGCCACATCATATGTAGCAAAATTCAACAGTCACTTGTGCTTCTTCAGACTAACTCCAAACTTTAGGTTTTAATCGCTGTATCCAAAAGTTTCATTGGAAAAATGAACTCATGATGACAAAGAAAGGACTGTATTGCTTCACCAACAGATTTTATTAGCAATAAGATTTAGTGGTCAGAAGTCAGCAGGCTCCCCACATGGGGTGAGAGTGAGCAGAACATCTTCCCTCACAGTTTCTAGGCTACAGAAAGTGTACCTGCGGAGAGAAAACAATGGTAAGTCAACTCCCTGTGGCCCGCAGTCAGTGTGTTATGCAGGAGGACACGTTTTGCTCTCCTCTCCAGCACACCCAGTGCTCGGGACCAGACATTGGCGGAGGGAAGACCTCTCTTCTGTATAAAGGACTGGATTCTCCTTTCCAGTTTTGTTTCAGGGCTGTGCAACAGTAGAGAGGAGGTGTTGCTGGACACCTCAAAGGACAGGGAAGACTCACTTGTTACATTCTAAAAACACCTACTAAACACGTGGCACATTGTCAACCAACACAACTGAGGAAGTGTAAGGTCAAGAGCATGACAAGAAATCAGCAAAAGAAAAAATTCTGAGGCCCTGGTGTTCCATTGGCGAGGCCTTCCTACTTTAACTCAGTAACTGACCTGAAATGACTAATTGTGCTCATTAAGACTGAACAATACTTGGGATGCTTTGGGGCTAATTTTCTTTAATATATAAGCATAATTATAAATTTCCTGGTACATACAAGTCCTCAGAAAATGCTCTTTTCTCTTCACCTTCATTTCCTCCCCTGTGGTCTAATGGCTGGCAACTCACAAATGGCAAATTAAAACTTAAAAACTGCCCTAACCGGTTTGGCTCAGTGGATAGAGCGTCGGCCTGCAGACTGAAAGGTCCCAGGTTCGATTCCGGTCAAGGGCATGTACCTGGGTTGCGGGCACATCCCCAGTTTGGGGTGTGCAGGAGGCAGCTGATCAATGTTTCTCTCTCATCGATGTTTCTAACTCTCTATCACTCTCTCTTCCTCTCTGTAAAAAATCAATAAAATATATTTTTTTAAAAACTTAAAAACTAATATTGATAAGGGAATGAAGGGCACACAATAACTATATATGAATAAAGGTGAACTGAATTTATTTTATAGTAGTTAAGAATATGTTGGAGTCAAATTTCCTGCATATGAATTCTGGCACTAAGCCTTTATTTAATTATCTTTAAAATGGGGATAATAATAGTAACTACCTCCCATCTCCACGATCAAGAGAATAAGCATATCTATCATCTCCCAATTTTTCTTCTGCTCCTTTATTATCTTTCTTTCCCATCCTTTTTCATCTTCCCTCATCCCCAGGCAACCACTGATCTGCTGTCACTATGGACTCATTTGAATTGTATAGAATTTTACCAGGAGTTGAAATTAAAGATGTATGCACTCTTTTGTCTTTTCCAACTGGTTTATTTCCCTCAACCTGAAGACCTTCCTTTAACATTTCTAATGTTGACCTGATGGTGATAAATTCTTTTAGTTTTTGTATATCTGAAAAGTCTTTATTTCATCTTTATCTTTGAAAGATATTTTTGTGGGTATAGAATTCTAGGTTAACAGTTTTTTTCCTTTCAGTACTTTAAGACAGTTGTTTCACTGTCTTCTCACTTGCATTTCCGATGAGAAACTTGCTGTAATTATTATCCTTATTTCTCTGTATGTAATGCATATTTTTCTTCTGGCTGCTTAAAGATTTTTCTCTTTATGACTAGTTTTGAGCAATTTGATCTTGATGTGTGTTGGTTAGTTTTCTTCATGTTTCTTGTTATATCACTGAGACCTAATGGTTTATATAGTTTCACCAAGTTTGAAAATTTATTCAAATATATATTTTTATCTGAAACAATTGTAAGGGTCTACCTTATTTGTTTCTTATCTCTCGGGGGTCACTTTCCTTTGTTGCCTAATGTTCAATGTCTGGAAACTGTTATTTTATATATTTTTATCTGAATTTTTGGTTGTTTTCCAGTTGGGAAGGTGTATCCAGTCGCTGTTATTCCATCTTTGCCAGAAGCAAAAGCCCTCTCATTGGGCTTTTATGAGGACTGGGGACCATGATGACAAAAGAAGCATAACACTGTGCCTCAGAATTTGGCTTTATATTCAAATCACTGGGCTATTATTGGTTTTGTGCTGACCATCAACATCATCAGCTCACTTTTTCTGGTGTTTCACTGTGCTAAATATCTTTTGGTTCACACACACTTTAGTCTTGGTTAGAACCAAAGGCTGACCTTTGTCTTCAGTAAGAGGGTGAATGATCCAGAATAGCCTATTTATATTCCTTGACAAGTTAAATATTTTTCTGATCATTTAAGTGGCAATTGGGTGAACCCAGAACATTTGGGGAAGATACACATGTTAAGCACACACATAGCACAAGGCATAGTAGCTAAATAACATCAAGTTTCTCACCTTAAATCATGAAACCAGATTTTCATTCTAACACCGCTTGTGTTAGATAACACAACACTCATCTACAAATTTAATTTATCAAAGTTGTTTCCCTAAAGTTCTGCTCTTTATCCTAAAGAAACAAGACGTACGAGGAAGCAGGTGTGGGTAGGATGTAGGAGAACAATCACAAGAGATTTAACTTAAAATCAACTTCCAGTGGGAATAGAACTATAAATCTGATTCAATACTTCAAATCTCTTTGGATTTTTATTACTTACAGTTTCCCATCATTTCTTTGCACCATGATCCGGGATGCTCCCACTTTGGGTAGAGTTGGGTTGATCACATTGTTATACCAAATAAATTTAACACTCTTCAAATCTCCAACATCCACATCTGAGTCAAATTCAGTGGTATGAATACTGAATGGTCGGAGAATGCCCCTTGGAAATTAAAAAGTTAGTAAAAACGTACATGAATTTACATACATATACATAAATAGATGTATTTCTAAAACCAGCTCGCATCTCTAGTACAATAACTGATGGTACATTTGTCATTTGAATGTATTAAATAAGTGCAGACAGGTAGGCTCAGTGTTAGCTTGTCTACCATCAATAACTCATATTACTTTAAAGTCATTCTTACTACTAATAAAACTTCAAACATGATTTAGTCACTAATCCTCTCACAATGTAATAAATGATGGCATCATTATATCATCTTTCCCCAGTTGTTTTGTGGACAGAATTATTCTTTACTGATTATAAATCAGATGCCACTCATCCCAGTAAACATCAGGGGTTTTCTCAGGAAATAGCAGAGAGAAAAATTAGAAACAAAATTCTGAAATGTGTGAAGGTGCAAGGGTGAAATCACCTCTTCCTTTTGATGATGGGTGGCAGTAGCTTATGCTCATTAGTAACAGATCAACTCTTATGTCCAGAACATACATTGAATGCGCGAGGTATTCCAGCACTTATGACACTTAGAGTTGTATTTCACTCACTTGAAAACTTCGTACTGCTTAGAGTTTCCTCTGTCGCCAAACAAAGAAACTAGCACGTGTCCTCTGACCTTCTTTCCAGACAGAATAACAGTTGCCCTATACCTCCAACCTGTATGGGGCGGGGGGGGGGGGGGGGGGCAGAATGCAACAGGTCAGCTTGCAGAGAAGACACTGAGAACAGGCTACGTTGAATTCACTGCTGCTGCACCCTGAGTAACTTATATAGGGTGTCCCAAAATTCACACAAGATTTGAATTTTGCGTGAGCATTAACAACAACAAAAAAATAAAAGCCTAATTTTACTTGGTTTATTGAATCAGATTCTAATATCTGTTGCCCTTTGATTTCAATTCCTTCAATTTGATAAGCATTACCAAGTACCAATTATGGCCCAGGAGCAGGGACAATGACGACCAATGAAGACCATGGTTTGCGTATGTGCCAGCAAAGCCGTGGAGGGCATTTACCCAATGTGCTATTCCATACATAACCCTATACTGTATACTTTATTAATCAATAAAAAATTTACAATTTTTAATTATAAACCTGTGTTTTCTATCAAAATTACTTCTTGTGTGAGTTTTGGGACACCCTATACATGTGTTGGTAGTTCTCCGAGCCACAGACATTCCTTTATCTAACCGTTCAGAGGACAGGCACTGGGGGAGGGGAGGAGCATGCCCTCTTTCCAAAGTCAATAGATCTCAAGACAAGGGAAAAGGTAAATCTTTTGCTTTCAATTTCTTTAACCTGACAATGTATTCTTAAATGTTAAAAGAACTTTATGTTAAAACATAGTAGAAAATATGACATTTTCATCAGTTTGCTTCAGTTTTATAGTAGTATTATCTCTTTCTTTTGTCTAAAGAGTGTACATTTATTTTAAAAATTCTACAATTCAACTTTCCATTGCCATTGAAAATGTATTAATTTGTGGTAACCAATTTATGGTACTACTCAATTGTAAACTATTGGTTTTTACCATTTTGAACTAGCCTGGGCTATTGGCGGGGCAGGGGTTGGGGGCTGGGAGTGGGGAGTGGATAACATTTGGCGTTAGTTTTTACAATGCAGCTAGTTTGATTCCTAACCAAATAGTTTTCTTCCTTTGTTAGTTAGAAGAGGAACTTGGAGTCTGTCCCCACACTTGACCATCCACACATCCTCCAAGTCCCAGCACCCGCAGAGTCTGCAACCCTAAATATAAATATCTCTTGAATCTGCTCATTCCTTTCGATTCCCACAACCTTGCCATCTCTTGCCTGGATTACTTTTCTCTTTGTACGAAACCTCTGAATTTTGCTCAGTGAAACTTTTGACTGAATGTGAAGGTCTCGAGCAGAAGCAGCCTCCAGGATCAAATAGGAAGAATTTTTTGTTTCATTTATAGTTCAGCCCCCAAACTCTGTACTACTATCCAAATTAGCTGAGCACAGCATTTGATTATTTTTCCATGTTGGGGAGGGGAGTTTAAAACTTCTGTACAGAAAAGCAATTTCGCGCATTTTCACTGGGCGTGATAAAATACATAACACGAAGAGTTTAAGGCAAATCAAGTAGAGACTTACGGGGGAAATAGCTGGCGTCACCCGTGTTTAGATAAAATGTCTGGCCTACTCCCTTAGTTTTCTCAGCATATCTGTCAGCATAATGTCCCATCTGTGGGCAGCCTCCAGTTGGACAGGGGAAGCACTTGTTCTGGGGAAATAAACAAGTGATGGATGAGGATGCTCTTATAATAGTGTGTCAGCTTTGACCCATGTGTTGTTACAATTAGAATATTCTAAAACCAATTCTGTTCTGCTGGTAAAAAGGAACTTTAATAGTGTCTCAGCAGAGGTTAAAAATGCATCTCATTATTTACAACGACGAGTCAGCAACTTCACTGTTAAGTAACACAATACTAACAAAATTACAAAAACCGCACAAAAGAGAATTTATGCCTATATTTACATATACATATTTTAATATTTTTCCTCTTGCTCCCATGGCCCCAACACATCCACCTGCCTACAGTTGGTTAGGATTTATTTTAGAAAGTCTGCAAGGGACAGAGCAAGAGGTGATAATCAGCGTTTGGTCCCCAAAATAGGACCCAGTAGGAGGACAATGGCTCAAAAGTCGGGTTTTCCTCAATTCCTTTAGCTCCCACTTAGCATATAAAAGTGTAAAGAATCCAGATCTCACAATGGACATAGACACCATGGGGGTGAGGGCATGAGTGGGGGAGTTGGGGGGAAATAAGGGGATAAGGACACATATGTAATACCTTAATCAATAGAGAGAGAGAGAAAAAAAGAATTCAGATCTCAGAATTCTCTCGGGCGGAGAGAAATGCCCCAGTTGGTTGTAAAAGCTTAGCCATAAGGTTGGCGTCTAGAAAAGATGGATATCATATAGGAACTGTGGGCCAAGGAATTCTGGGAAGAAAAGAGGGAAAGGAAGGAACAGAGTGGGAAGGAGAAATAGAAATTCCCACTATAGGAAGGCAAGGCTGCTCCATCCTGGATCAATGGACCAGACGGGGACTGGGCCGAGTACAGGGTCTGCATCCAGCAGATGCGAAGGGGGCACTGAGCCAGCCAGGAGGAATGGCCAAAGCTCTCTGAGGGCATTGCCTGAGCCAGAAGAGTGGATGTCCCCAGAATTCACCAGCAGACATTTGCCATGGGCCCATCAATAGGGAGGACCCCCAAGTTCTCCCTCTGCCCAACACATGCTGACCATCACCACCAGCATGATCACCTGGCCACTGGCAGCTTGGAGAGAAAGGCTGAGAAATCTGCAAGACTGAGACTATCCTATAGAAAAAGCCTAATTTGCTAAGTGTCAGCCCGTTCAACCGCTCAACCAGTCACTATGATGCGCACTGACCACCAGAGGGCAGACGCTCCGACCTGTAGGTTAGCTTGCTGCTGGGGTCTGGCAGAGGCAGCCAAGGCTGCGAGGACTGAACCACTTGCACGAATTTCGTGCATCGGGCCTCTAGTTATTACACAGTTTTATAAAGTCAGCATTTAAGACAAGGTTACCATGTTTATCAGCATCCTGTAGCCACACACCCAGATTTCCATAGACTATTTTTTTTAACCTAGAATTATTTCCAAAACAAGATTGAGTGTTTATCTGACACGGGCAGAAGCGAGAGAGCAAGGCAGACGAGACATTTCCGTAGACAAGCCCATTTCTTGAAAGTTCTCCAGTACCTTAAAGTTCACCATTAAAAGCAATCTGTAGAACTAAAGGGTGAGGTAATGTGGCAGTCATAGAGTGACATCCAGTGAATGCATGTCAGGGACAGTGAACGACAGCAGCCACAATAAATGATGCTCACAAAATCCCTTAGGGCCCAGGTGGAGTCTACTCACTGCAGTGAAAGAGCTGTAAGAGGCACAGGGGAAGCCAGTGAAACCATCAGGGTGGAGGATGCTGTCGGAGTAATACTTGTAGCTTCTCAGGTGATTACAGGCAACAAAGTCACGAGAGCCTTTGAAATCAGACATGATTCCACATCAGTGACAGATTTTATCCTTGCAAGTTAATGTCATGATCAGAACGGAGTTAAATTGTTCAATAGGTTTCTCTAATTAGTGTGGTGAACTCATGGTGGTCACAGGACAAAAGCATTTATGAACCGTATTTATGATTTGTAATGAAAACAGAAGTTAAGTACTGTTCAAGATGCTAATAGTTAGGCCATAGTTAATGAAAAATAGCAATTTTTGCAACTAGAAAAGTTGCTTTTTTAAAAAAAATGGAAAAATAACTTTAGAAGGAAAAGATTGGTCCATATTGATACTTAGCAATGCATTTCCTGAATTTGACCCTTGGAAAGTTGACTACAAATATATTTTCTTTCTTACAGTCTCTTCTCATGCCACTTCCCCCAATGAAAATCCCATATCTTGGGGATACAATTAAAAGTCCTTGGTTATAGAAAATGTGAGTCCTGTACAATGTCACAATATTCAGCAAGTTTAGCAAAACAAAACACAAATCCTCCCCCAAGAAAAACCTGCCATGCACACAATGGTTTTACCTTCCCAGATCCCATCAATGTCAACAATCTGAGAGAGAATGTTCTTCTGACATCCGGGCATGTCTTTTCCTCCATTCGGAAAGAAATCCATGTGTCCCGCAGTTTGGCTCATTCCAAATCCTGAGGAATTTCAAAATATGAGAAAGATGATGTTATTGTGTGAACTGAAAACCCTCTAAAACACACTAACGTATAGACTCAGAAACCATTCTAGGAAGACCAATGGAGGAACTCACCCATGTTGGGGATGATGGGGGCAGCGTCTGTGTGAATCACATCCACAAACTGAGCATCGCTGGGGTCCAGTCGGACTAATTCAGGTGTCCCCTCAAAGCAAGGTTCAGCAGGGTCCAAACCTAAAGAAGCAGGATGTGTGACATCAGTATCTATCAGCGCACCTGCGCATTCACCTGTGTCCATTCGTTATGGACCTGAGTGCAAGCATTGGCGGTCATTACGAGTTAGGCACGAAAGAGTTAAGCTAGTTCTTTCCTGCCTCACCATTTCTTGAAGGCAAATCTGTGTCTCATTTACTATTCGCATTAAAGTGAATTTTCCTCAAACCATAGGATTTTGCTTCACTTATGAATACTTAAGTCACGAAGACAATCCCCATCACTGTTCTTTTTCATTTTATTTCTACATTAAATTTATTGGGGTGACTGCGGGCTAATAACCTTAATCACTAGCAGAAGTTATAAGGGAAGAGCCACACTCTGGGAAACACTGGTCTCTAAAAGTTGCTGAAGGCTAAACCAGGCCCCACTGTACCCTAGCCTCCCATGAGGGCCCCAGGACCACAGCTTTGCACAGCGCCCGGCTGACTAGGCTCTTGTACACATTTACAGACTATGGGAAAGAATTATTAAAGCATGTCCAGCAAATTAACGATAGACATTCCAGATGTATCCACCACGCCAAACGTAACCAACTTCCCCAAAGTACTAAGAAGAACTGAGAGGGGGAGGGCAGAAGAGGGCAGTGGCTGCTTCTAGAAAGAGTCAGCTCTCAGATGCAGGATAACAAAGTCTTTCTTATAAACATACAGGTTTGTTGTAGGACCTGGGTATTCAACATGGGACCCCATTGGCCAAATGCAAGGAGCCTGAGACTTGTAAAATCATATCGTTTAATTAGCATCATGCAGAACTGGTAGCCCAGGGCCACCGGACCACCTGCCCCCCACTCAGCTCCTGGGTTGTGGTTGATGACAATTGGGCTCATTATCAATTGCTATTGAAGCAGAATAGAATTCGTGATACATTTTTGAGCTCTTTGGGTTTAATTCTATTTATTATTTAATCTATAACTTACGCTGTTTATCCTATTTCTGAAACTTGTCCTTTGTGAATGCTTCAAAAAGGGAAAATAGATATGAATAAGACCTCTACATGCTTTTAATTCACATTTTAGTCCCATGCAATATTTACATGTTAAACAGAACTCTGTAAGCGGAAGACCAGAGCCATAAAAATCCACAAGGGCTCAGCAGACACTGATCATGTGGCTCAATTCAGAAAATGTGAAAACCTGTCTCTACTTTGGTAAAAAACACCACATTTCCATCCTTTCAGACACCATGTGGGCTACATGTCGTCTAATCGTGTAGCGTTTACTGTTTTGACCAACCTGTGATGCGTCCAACCGTCCCATTGGTCCTCCTTCCCGCCTCGCCGGCCGCGTGGGAACCCAGGCTGTGGCCGATGATGTGGACATCGGAAGGCGAGTACCCAAATGCTGACTGTTGGAAAGAAAATGTCGTCAGAATGTTTTCAAATTTAGAATGTGGAATTCAAGATAAATACAGAAGGGGAGCCTCTGAAAACCGGAGATTTAAGAAGACATACTCCCCCCTTCAAAGCAATTAATTTTGAGGTATATATATTTAAATATAATAAAAAATGGTGATGGGCTTAACATTTAAACAGGTAGAAGTAGGGCTCTCTTTTGTTGTTTTCCAACATACAGAGACCTTTTAATGGACACGAGGAATGGTTACCCAGTCAGTAAAGTACGTATTTGGATCAGAAAATAATAATGAAAGCAATTATTTAGGCACGTTCAAGTTTAACATCTTCTTTGTTGTTAGTTAACAACTCAGGTTAGCTTGTTATCACTGTGCTTCTCTTAAAATTTTTTAAAAAAGTAGTTTACTCTTGAGGCTGACATTACCATGTCAACTTGGTTTAATAACTGGTACAATTAAGAGAAATACTGGGGGAATTCAGTAGAAACAGTCTACCTGGTTGCTTGAATAATATCACATTTAAAAAAAACTAATTGATTGACCCCAGTAGGCATATTGATGCAGCCCAATCTGGACTTTTTTATTTTTTTTTTTCAACCAAGGTGAAAGCCAGCCTCAGTAAAGAAATGTCTCTAGCAATGATCACACCTACAGCACTTTTGTTGTCCTGTGGAAGGGAATCCAGAGAGGCCACGTGCGTGGGTTTTACACACAAGTTACCTGAAGGACTTCCACAAAGTAGGCGACCTCTGCCCCCACAATCCGGATGTTCTGTGAGGCCTGTGTGTAGCCCGTTCTGGAGCCACTTTTCCAATCCACGCAAATGCAGTTCACGCTTTCCACCTGAAACATGTTCTGGTGGGAGAGACACAATACATGGGTCAGCGATTCAGAATCTTTATCACTTTCCAATGAATACCTGTGAGGACTAGGATTAACAATATCATGCTTGCTGATAACCCCAAAGCAATGAGCATAACGGACTTCTAGTCTGTTATGGATATAGATTCCCTTTTAAAGTTTAACACTGACTCCAAACTGGAGCGTTGGCCATAATCAGAACTGGATTCTTGGGATTTCTACTGCAACAGTTGCATAGACACTGATTCAGGGAAAAATATATAAACTGTGGTACAGTGGGTTGTGTCATTAGAGCTTCATGATGTCGTAAGACTACATCGTTCTTTACCAGAACACACCGCAGGACATTGCCTTTCTTGTTCGCTGCTGTATCTTCAGTGCCCTGAAAGTTCCTGGCACATGTAGGTGCTCAATAAATACTTATTGAATGAAGGAATGAATGAATGAAAGGCCATGTTAGGATCCCCTTAAATATTAACTATGTTGAAGGTAAATGAGTAAGCTTTTCCACAATGGAAGAACTAACCAGAGTTTTTAGACAAATGCATTCTCTTGTATAATGTTCCTTGAGCAGTTACCTAGCCATTCCTAGGCAATTTTGTTCTATTTGATTTTCTGACTTTTTTTAACCTTTCATTTTCACAGGGCACACAGCCAAAGACAAATGAAAGAAGATAGGATCACAATACATGGCAACAACAGAAGCTAGAAACGAAAAGCTACTAGTACACAGTTTTCCTAGATATTGCCACCATAGGAGATCACATAGCAGCAAGGGAAATTCATTCTTTTGGGCTTACTAAGTAATATTAGCTCCTCACATAGCAATGAAAACCTACTGAGAACACTTAAAGCTATGGACAATGCAACTCCTGTTGTATCAGTACGGCAACATGTGTTGCTAAGTTTTGAAATATCTTTCTATTCTTTATTGGATAGCTGCTACCCAAAGCCTCCAAATGCCCGCCAATCTTGCCACCCTGACGGTGCCAGGCCCTCTGCACCGCCTCCACCTCCTGGACCTCCCCTGGACACCAGGCCAGCAGCACCAGAGGCCCCTCCAGTGTCACGATGGCCAGCGTTTGTCCTGATTGGCTGGGGCTGTGCTTTCCCCGTGGTCGATGATCATGCCGAACAATCTTCCCTGAAGAGAGGACCCCGTCTCACCTTGCACATATTGGCCAGCCAGCCTTCTTCTCCCTTGTCTATGAATCCGTGAATAATGAAACGGGTTTTCCTATCCGTTTTGAAATTGGAGGCCTCGATAGTTGATGGCTCTGCACGGATTTCCTGTTTGGGGAGAAAAGTGTTTAATGTCAAGTCTCTCACAGACTCCAGCGGAACTGTTTGTAAGGAAAGGGAGGCGGTAGGAGAAGATTGCCTGGGCGTGGGAGCCTGTGAGTGATGGTTCTCCCATGTCAACCAAGCTGTCTGTAACCAGCACCAGGTCGCTGCTTCCCAAGTCACAACATTTTTTCAGTTGTTCAACTTGGGATACGTCTGCTAACATAATGGTGGTAGAGGTCTCACCTCCGTGCACTGAAAGGGTTTGTGTGTGTCTGGATTTTATATATGTACAATATGTTGGAAGAACCTGGCTGGTGTGGTTCAGTTGGTTGGAGCATCATCCCATGAACCGAAAGGTTGCCGGTTCAATTCCTGGTCAAAGCACATATGTGGGCTGGGGCTTCGATATTCTCTTCTCTCTCTCTCTCTCTCTCTCTCTCTCTCTCTCTCTCTCTCCCTCCCTCCCTCCTTCCCTCCCTCCCTTCCTCTCCCTAAGCATGACCTTGGGTGAAAATTAAAAAAATATGTTGGAAGAGTATATATATATATATATATATAATCCTCAAAAATGTATACACACATTTTAAATAATTATAAAGGCCATGTTTATTAAAATACATTTCATTTTCAAAATTGAGCGTTCAGCTGTTAGTGTACACATTTTTGGGGACACCTGTATGTCCATATTTAAATGATTTATTAAATGGTACCATAGAGGTAGGATGAGAACAATGTCAAGCTACTGGACCTTCTATAAACAAAGTTACATAAAATAATACTGAAGCTCACAAAAATCTGCAAAGATGTACATTCCACTGACGTATTCCATTTAGAAGACTTAAAACTCAGTGTCCTTATCACATACAGCAGATGGGACTGAGCTCTGAAAGCGACGAGCACTCATACCTGAAAGGAGTTGGGGTTCTCATTGGTGTACAGGAGGAAGCGGGTGTTGACCTCTTTGGGGCCCCAGGGCAATATTTTGAGGGGTCTTTCCACAATCCCTGCCCAGGGGGCTTCATCGCTGAAGCAGCCAAGTCTTTGGAAGCAGATTTCTTTCCCTGCAATCACCCAGAAGGGTTTCAAGGATATTAGTTTAACCAGAATGTTCTTTTTTAATGGTCTCTATGACAAAGTATGAGTTAAATTCTATTTTGTGGCTCATTGTCTTCCTCCTCATCCCCAAGCATTTTGCTATCTACACAGTCACAAAACAGTGTCAATAGACAACACCCAAGCTAAAGACAGGGGCTGCTACCCATCTCTTCCATGTGGGACCACGTACCCCCTTCATCTCTCTGTGCAGTGCTGTGTGGGGTCCCGTTTAGCCACTCAACTCAGACGTCTTTCTCGAGCCATTGGTGCCCCCAGGCCTAAGTAGAGGGGGTGAGGTTCTCAACTCCTTGTAGCCATCTTCTGGCTTTGGGCTTTGGGTAGAGAGCTCATTTCCTGCAAAGGCCCAAACCTGATATCTGTGAGTGGCTGAGTATTTAGGTCCCTGACTCCTGTTAAAGGGGCATCCTGTATTCCATGATGAAGAAGCTCATCACAAACATCAAACAGAAAATTCATGGTTTGACTCAACTCTAGGCTTAAATATTACCCCAAAGAACAACACAAAGGAAGGGTTTTGGAGGAGGAGAAAGCCTAGATTCACAGTAGGAGTAGGAGTTGTAGCTTGTGGGGGCTGCATTCTCAAAGTAGTACCATAGGCCAGGTGCTGGGCACGATGGTTTACGTGGCTTACGTGACCTAAGTCTCACAGTGATCCTATGAGAGGAGTGGTAGTATATGCCCATTTCACAGATGATGATCGTGAGGCTCAGAGAGGTTAAGAGTTTTGCTCAGGGAAATACACTTGTGGCTGCTGGAACCAGGGTTTAAACCCCTCATGACCCCAAGCTAGGGTTGCTGGATTTAGCCACTAAAAAGACAAGTTAGAGTATCAGATAAAAAATGTATATTTTTTTTAGAGAGAACGATCACATATTTGTTGTTTATCGGAAATTCAAATTTAACTGGGCACCTGAGCTTTCATCTGGCAACCTTCCTCCGGGTGCCTGTGCTCTTGACCATGCACCTTTCTTGCCCTATTCCTTGTCCCCATTGTGGCTTGAATTCAGCTATCATAGCCCTTCCTGAAAGGACTGAACACTATATAAATATATTGACTTACCTACTACTGTTCCCAGCAGCAGCGAAAGTGTCCAGATTGGAAGCATCTAAACAAAGTTAAAATTTTGAGTGAATTGGGCTCAGTTAGTTTTCAAACGATTGGCATAATTCAAGTCCAGTTAGACCTTTGGGGGGAAGAGGGGAGATAGGGAAATACTAATAAATTAGGCTTGGAAAACATGCTCCCGACTCACCGTGGCAGTTCCGTCAGGCCCCGCGCACAACCAGATAGCACCTAAAGGTCCTTTTATAGACAAGCCTTATCTTTTTGAGCGGTTCCAAGGATGCATTTCTGGTTTTAATCATAAATAAACCAAAATTGATAGAGTAGGTAAAGTTTTCCACAGTACTTGTGGGAAGATGGGAAAAGGTTAGTTATGAGCAATTCTCTCCCAGCCTGATTATATGCTCAGAATCACCATAACTTCCTGATGGTCAAGGCTCCAGCCTGCCTCTTTTTAAATTTACAATCTCTGTGCAGGGATGTGGGTATGAGTGAAACTAAATTGTGTTCACAGATTTGATAGCAACGGTCTTGAAAACAAATACTAAATGCTTACTAGCTCAGGCAGTTTTTGTTTAACCTTGCCTTCCCCTCAAAAACAGTGAAATAGAGGCAATTCTTCAAGAGAGTTCATTCCTCTTAGGAAAGCACTTGATATTTTAATTTAATAGTCCATAGAACTAGCTTATTTCTCAATGATAACATGGGGAAGAGAATAAATGAGCTGACAAAAGGAATTGAAGATACTTCTAAGAGCATAGAGGTGAAATCAGTGACCCCACCATAGAATGAAATTATGAATGAGAGAGAAAAATCAAATTCAACTCAGAAAAAATGGTTTGGGAAAAATAATCCGAAAGAGAAGTATTGGATGGAAAAGAACCGGGATATTTTCAGTGGGTGATAGATTGCTTAAAATAAATTTTAAACAGATGGTGATGGGATACCATAATTTTAAGAGATTGGTGCCATTCAGTGTGACAGCATCAGCGATACAGACTGAGTCCTTTGAAGTCTCCACATTTGTAGGTCAAAAATGGTCCAATAATTCAGTTCCCTGACAAAGTTTACAGGTACAGGGGAAAAAGCAATAGAATTATTTGTCTATGAAGAAAGTTGGACAAGGGAAATGTTAAAATCAGGACGGAAGGCACAAGAAAGAATTCCATGGGTAGTACATACCAGACCCTTAACATAACCCTGTTGAATGAATGAACAAACAAATGAGGGAATGAGAATAAAAAAAACAACTTATTGCTACATTGCTACAATATGAACTGCCTATACAATCTTACAGTAAAGAACTGTGGCCGAAACCGGTTTGGCTCAGTGGATAGAGCGTCGGCCTGCGGACTGAAAGGTCCCAGGTTCGATTCCGGTCAAGGGCATGTACCTGGGTTGCGGGCATATCCCCAGTAGGAGATGTGCAGGAGGCAGCTGATCGATGTTTCTCTCTCATCGATGTTTCTAACTCTCTATCTCTCTCCCTTCCTCTCTGTAAAAAATCAATAAAATATATTTAAAAAAAAAAGAACTGTGATTTTCTGAAGCCCTTTCTCCTCAAAACAAGCAAGCAAGCAAACAAACAAACCCCCTCACAAGTGAGCCAATGTTCACTGTTTGGTTTACTGTGAAGTAAAATATATTCTGTGTGACTTACCAAATAATTCACACAAAATTTCTCAGTTGGCCTTTTAGATAGTACAACACTGAATCCATAATTCAGGTGATCTTTGCTCAATAGAGGCTATAGAATTAGGACCAAGAGTCATCAAATTCTGAGACAGAGACTAGAGTCCGTGGAGAATTATTTTATAAACTAAAATAGGTTCAAATCTTAGAATGTTTTAGGAAGATTCAATTTCCCAACCTGTTATAAAAGCAAAGAAGAGAATTGTACATGATCAGCAGTCTATCGGATGAGCTCTGGATAAATGACTACTAAATTCAATCTTGCTGAACCCTTTAGCTGAGTTGTAAAATTTTATCAACCCTATTGTTTCACGTAGACCACAAATGAGCTATCTAGGACTGTCTGTTTATGGAGTAGGTGGCAGAGATTGGTGGCCCCTTCTTATATGGAATAGAACTACACCTTACTACCTAATCTCCCTTGCCGGGAGACGGATCACATGATCAACATCTGGCCAATGAGCTGTGAGTGCATAGATATGCACCAGTCCTAGTCCTGCTCATAAAAACTCCTACATGATCCTCATATGCCTTGCTGTACATGGCTTGATGCAGGAAAGTATGGTGACCACGAATTCCATATGTTGAAGATAGCAGAGCCACAAGATAGAAGGAGCCTGGGTTCCATGCTTAGAAGAAAGCCAGCCATCAATTATGAAGACCCATTTTGAATTTTACATGAGCAAGAAATAAATCCCCATTGTTTTAAGCTGCTGATATTTCAGTGGTATAGGAACCAGCATTACCTTAACCAATAAAGGTTACTGTATTGTAGGATGATTTCTCCTACTTCCAAGAACTTATTTTTACCACTTAGCTATAGGGTTCAGCAAGTTCAGACACCAAACATTGAACCCTGGGCTATAAATTTTACCATGAGGTCTGGGTGTATAACATTGATATTTTGACAGATATTTTTCTAATTCTTCACTTTAAAAATCCATTTTCCGGCCATCTCCCAAATTATAAAAATTAGCTGCTCAATTCTTCATTCCATTTCTGTAGACTTTTAATTTTAATGGGCATTTTCCTGTTCAGTCCTGATAGTGACTGTTGCTTTCACGAGCAATCCGAGGCCTTATGCTACCTCAAGTTTTAGTGGAAATTTACCCAAGGTTGTCTGGGCCCCAGGTGCAATGCAAGTGTGATTGAAGCAGTTCAATCTGCTGGATACACAGGAAACTCTCACATACCACAAGGAGATGGACTGGAGTCCCCACCAGAACTCTGCTCCCCACCAGCCTTTGTTATTCCTCACAACTCGGGATTGCGGGCTAGAAGGTGGGCCCTGTAGAAGGTGGGCCCTATAGAAGGTGGGCCCTGTAGAAGGTGGGCCCTGTAAAAGGTGGGCCCTGTAGAAGGTGGGCTCTGTAGAAGGTAGGCTCTGTAGAAGGTGGGCTCTGTAAAAGGTGGGCCCTATAGAAGGTGGGCCCTGTAGAAGGTGGGCCCTGTAGAAGGTGGGCCCTGTAGAAGGTGGGCCCTGTAAAAGGTGGGCCCTATAGAAGGTGGGCCCTGTAGAAGGTGGGCTCTGTAGAAGGTGGGCCCCATAGAAGGTACCAGCGCCATGGCATTCCTTTCCCAGGAAGCTCATGGCCTTGAAAGTGGACTCTCATTGAAAAATAATTCCTGACCAGCCATGCATTGTACAACTTTGACTCAGCTTTGACCCTGCAACCTTGGACATTTAAAAATAATAATGCCAAACTTGTATGTTTTGAATCCAATAGCTTTGACTGCAGAGGAGTTAAATATTGATATAAGTTTAGGCTCGGATTCTGGCCACCTCGTGATACCAAACTCCAGGTGAGGGAAAGAGAGGTCCCGGGACACCTGTCTGGCCAGATAAGCAGCATGGGAACCAAACAAGGTCTCATTTACTTAACCTTCAGAGAGACGCCCTTATCCAGTCCAGTCTATGGCCAGGGCCACCGGCGGGAGGGAGAACACGCCGCCTGGGGATGCCAACCTCCCCCGAGCAGAGGACGATGATGATCTGGGGCTGCTGTTGCCTCCCACCCTCCAGCGCAACCATGCGGTCCCCTCTGAGAGGGTTCAGCTCACCCAGACTCAGGGAGTATAACTGTAGTCATCCCTCCTCTGTTGTGCATGGAGATTATTTACTCTGTGGACTAGAATAACAAGCAGACTTTAAAATTTATAGCATTAATTATTCAGCTTTACGTCCTTTCTTAGTTTGGGCATTTAATCTCCCACAGACATGAACTTGCCCAAGGACACACGGTTGGGAAGCAGCAGACCTCCTTCGGGAGGGGCAACTTCTTTCCCCCAGCCCAGGAGGCGCGATGGCGGACACCCCAGGAGGCCCTGCGCTCCTAGGCTGTGCTCCCTTAGAGTTGATCTGGAAAAGAGTCAAGAGTGGGTTTAGCAGGAGGGGTCAGCACGGATGTGTGACACACATGTACGGAACCAGGGATCTGCTTTTCGAAACAAAGGCACATGCATCATTTATGGATAACCTATCTTATTTGCATTTAACTTTCCTACTGTTCATGCAGAAAAGGGCAATTTTATCACATAAAAGTACTACTTTTATCACACTGAATATAATAATTATTTCTTTCCTGGGCCATCACAGTAGTTTTTTTTTATTATTATTTCTCTTCTTGCCATTAGACTGTCTCCTCTCTTGTCTGTCCTCTACATACTACCGGGCAATCAGGTTTGAACTGCAGACTGGCCATGACATTACAACCCCAACCTCCTTCCCTGCCCTGCACTTTCTAGATGAGGACTGCCCAACGGAAATCTATCATAAGCCACATTAAGAAAAAGTAAAAGAGAAATAGGTGAAATATATTTTAATCATTATGTCACGTAAAATATTCAAAATATTATCATTTCAACACGTGGCACTAGCCACATTTCTGGTGATCAGTGGTCACCTGTGGCTAATGCCTATTGTATTGGATAGCACGATTCTAGATCAAATTTACTCTTCTTAACATCACAAATAAGACGTTACAGACCTGGTTAGCTTCTCTGAGGTCTGTAGCCTTGCTGTATAACCATTTGACCCATTTTCCAAGCAACTCTGAACCACTTTCAAGATATAGTTGAATGGAATCCAACTATAAAGAATGCAATAGCAAGAGTTTCCAGGTGTCACTGAGCAGGAAGAGAAGGCAAATAGGCAGAGATGTAAAATTCAACAGACCCAGATCACAGCTTGGATACTAGGAGCTGTGATGAAAGGCGGGGAAAGAGAGAACAAACAAAAGAAAGAGAAAATGGAAGGAAAGAAAAGGAAAGGAAAGGAAAGGAAAGGAAAGGAAAGGAAAGGAAAGGAAAGGAAAGGAAAGGAAAGGAGGAAGAAATTAAGCTAATAATCTGTGCCCTTTGTTTCTGCTCCATACTTATGATTAGGGGATCAAACAATTAGAAATGACTTGAGGCCATTCAGAGGGGCAGGCTACCTTTTATAGCGTGAGAACCATACCTTTCCCTGCTGCAAACCCATTGGTGTTCTGTCCTTACTTATCCCAGTGCATCCTTTTCAGCCTGTGCTATGGCTCACAAAATACCCACTACATGGATAGTTAGTGATACACAAGGCAAAACACGTGTAAGGAACCAGCTCCTACTCTGCACATGAGTGAGGCCATCCGACTGCAATTGTGTCTCTAGCACAGTCTGAATAGTTTCACACAGTGTGCCATCAATACTGTGTAACGCTCAACAATGCCATCTGATAAGGGAATTTGTCTGATGGCTCATTATTTGTTTTTATCCAAAAATAATATATATCATTATCGTTGTGGCTGATGCCTGGCTTTACAGGCCCCTCTGTGATAGCAGTTTTGCAACAGTTTTCACTATAAGAAATGCAATTTGAATAATGCCTGTATAGTCTCAAGTTGATTTATGCCTTTGGTGGTCAAATTAATTGATTTTATCCTGGAAAGCAGTATTTTCTACTTCTTCTGCGGGGGGGGGGGGGGGGGGGGGGGCAGAAAAGCAATTTGTTTCCTTGAGCATACTGGTATAATATTTGAAAATAGCATGAAAACAGCAACATCATCAATTCCACTCTGGACGAATATTCATGACTAATCCCACTGGAGACAGGAGACCAGGGTGTCAAGGACAGATGAATGTTGATCTACCACAGTCCATGTTTTGGTCATCATTGTATATCCTATCAGCATCACCACATTTTCACATTGAATTCCAAGACCTAAAGATTCGTAAGTTAGATTTTCCCCGGAGTCTTGTCTACCACGTAAGTGTATGAGCTGATGTGAGCGATGGCCTTTGTGTTACTATTCCTGTCATTGCCTTTTCCCGTCAAATGAACCACTCGTAAGCCACTGATCCTTATGTGTGTGTGTGTGAAACGAGGCTATAACTCAACAGAACGGGAATGACATACAACGCAAATATAAAACATGCAAAAATGCGTGAGCCTGCTCTTCTGCTGGGCGTGGTATAAACATGACATCACAGAGGCTCTCTCTCATCACGGCATGGAACAGAATCACTGGAGGAAGTAGACAGGCACTGACGGGCACTAGGCCTGGCATCTCGGGTGTTTTGATTCGTTGGCCTGGCCCACTTCACAGGCCTTGGCACAAATGCATCGTCAAAATGCATCTGATGGCCGAAACCGGTTTGGCTCAGTGGATAGAGCGTCGGCCTGCGGACTGAAGGGTCCCGGGTTTGATTTTGGTCAAGGGTTTGATTTTGGTCAAGGGCATGTATCTGGGTTGCGGGCACATCCCCAGTGGGGGGTGTGCGGGAGGCAGCTGATCAATGTTTCTCTCTCATCGATGTTTCTGACTCTCTCGCTCCCTTTCTCTCTGTAAAAAATCAATAAAATATATTTTAAAAAGAAAAAAAATGCATCTGATGAAAATATGTGTTTTAATGAAAATAAATCTTTGGTATCTCTCCTTCCCCAGGAATTAGAATCGCCTCTTATAATCTCTATTTGGGAGGTAAAAAGTAATCTTAGCCATGTTTAAAAAAACGTAATTTAGTGAAAGACCTTTTCCCAGAGAAGACACGTAAAGAAGGAATAGTTTTGCCCTAGCTGGTTTAGCTCAGTTGATAGAGCATCAGCCTGTGGACTGAAGGGTCCCGGGTTCGATTCCGGTCAAGGGCATGTACCTAGGTTGCGGGCACATCCCCAGCAGGGGGTGTGCAGGAGGCAGCTGATCGATGTTTCTCTCTCATTGATGTTTCTAACTCTCTGTTCCTCTCCCTTCCTCTCTGTAAAAAATTAATTAAAATATATATATATATATATATATATATATATATATATTTTTTTTTTTTTTTTTTTTTTTTTTTTAAAGAAGGAATAGTTTTTCAGCAAAGGTCACCACTCTATCGTTAGGGCACATGGGTTTATGGCTCAGTTAAGTAAGACACACAAGGGGCTTCTCTGGCCATGCTGTACCCCAGTTCACATCCCCCTCACCCCTGACCCAGCCCCCCAGGAAGCTCTCCGCCCATCTCAGCCCCAAATCCCTTCCAGGCAACAATGGCTGCAGGAGATGAGGTTGTTGTCCTTCCTTGAATTACTGGCTCCTTTTCTGACAAATCAGTGAGGGAAACAGAGGGGTGTATCTACCCAGAAGAAAGGGGCACAATTCTGCCTTCTTCTGCTGCTCAGACCCCCGCCAGGTCCTTCCTACAGCTTCGCCCTGGAAGAGCGGGCTAGACACCCATGGCTCGACTCTGATTGCTGTTTACTTAACATGGAGCTTCTCCAGCTGGTTATGCACATGGATTGCTCTGCATTTTAGTTGTAACTCCAGTTTGGTCCTGGGAGGGAGTGAGTGTAACTTCCATCTACTGCACCGCCATCCTGAATCCCTGGTTGTGGTGCTTCTCACTAAGCTCATTGTAACTCAGTTTCCTCATCTGTGAAATGGGAATGTTATAGAACCTACATCACTGGGTACCTGGTAACCTTAGGCATGGATCCTCAGATGCATTTGCTCAGATTCTGTGTCTTTTGCTCCCTTGGCTTCTGGTCTACAGTAAGAGTTGCTAAGTGTTTTTAATTCAGGGCCAGAGAGTAAATACCTTGGGTGTTGAGGGTCTGTGGTCTGCTGCTAGTCCTCAGCTTGGCTGTTGTGACATGGACACTCCCATAGACAATGTGTAAGCAAACGAAGGTGGGTTTGGGTTCCAACAAAGCTTTAGTTATGGGCACTGTGATTTTAATTTCATATAATTTGCACATGTCACAAAAATACTATTTTTCTTTTGATTTTTTAAGAAATCAAAATCCAGCCCAGCCGGTGTGGCTCAGTGGTTGAACGTCTACCTATGAACCAGGAGGTCCAGGGTTCTATTCCCAGTCAGGGCACATGCCCAGGTTATGGGGCTTAATCCCCCGTGCAGGGTGTGCAGGAGGCAGCCAATCAATAATTCTCTCTCATCATTGATGTTTCTATCTCTCTCTCTTCTTCTCCCTTCCTCTCTGAAATTAATTTTAAACATTTTTAAAAAGTAAAAACCATTCCCTATTTGCAGGCAGATTTGGCCTGTGGGCCATCATTTGTAGCCCCATCTAAAAGATGCAAAATTTTCTATACTTTTTTGGTGAGGTATTTGGGCTCTGAAACCAGCCTAGGTGTGACTCCCAACTCCACTGTGGGCCAATGTGACCTTAGACTTGTTGCCGAAGCTCACTGTATCTCAGTTTCCTCATCTGTGAAATGGTAAAGTTATAGAAGGAGGAATGAAGGAGACAGGACATGTAAAGCATGTACAATAGGGTCTGGCACAGAGCAGGCACTTCATAGATAATATTATGATTCTGATGAACATTTTCTGTTTTATTTGTGTTTCTATAAGGCTTTGCAGAATTTACTAACCATCTATTTCATTTCTTCTAATTAGGCTCAAAACTTTCCCTCCTCTAAACCAATAGTTCTTGCCTGTGATTAATGTCACACACTTAACACATAATTTAATATTTTAATTGTGAAATGATACATATCATCAAGTCTGAGTTTCATATATACATTGAAAACTTGCTTCTAAGAAATAGCTGACAAGCGATTAATAGCGCATAAGAAAAATCACAGTTAACAGAACAGCAGATAATTAAACCAATTACATATTTTTCATTTATATGATGACTATGACTTTGTCTAGAGAATACTAAACATGCAGACGAAAAGTAAATATTTCGGATGAGGCAACCATTTGGATAATTGAAGTTTAATTAAATCTAGCTTAAAGTTCAATTAAATCACATTTTCTCTAAAACATCCTTTCCTGGATAAGCCGTTATGCAAAGTATTTCTTAAATGTCTGAGAAAATTGCATGAGTCGTAAAAATTACTGGCAGTAATGTCCCATTTTCTATGGGTGACATCATTCCCCAGTCACTGCCCTGTAATGACCGATACTTTTTCGATTAACCATTGCAGGAAGGGCAAGGTGACCTGCAAAGTTGTCGGGTGGAGAATGCTGCTGGAATGACCACTTCTAGGTGTTTACGCACCATAAACCAGCGATTCTCAACCTGTGAGTTGCGACCCCTTTGGGGGTCGAACGACCCTTTCACAGGGGTCGCCTAAGACCATCGGAAAACACATATATAATTACATATTGTTTTTGTGGTTAATCACTATGCTTTAATTATGTTCAGTTTGTAACAATGAAATTGGGGGTCACACAACGTGAGGAACTGTATGAAAGGGTCGCGGCAGGAGGAAGGTTGAGAACCACTGCCAGAAACTCTCATGAAATCAGACGTGATTGCGCGTTGGTGACAGTTGTTTTTTCTGGTCAGTGTCCTGATTAGGATGTAGCAATGGGTCAGAATCACACTGAGAGACAGCACAGCCGTGGGTTATATTTCACGCCTTATGATTCATTTTTTACTTCCCAAGAGCTTCCCAAGTAGTTAGATCATAGAAAAAGGGTCATAGAAAAAGTTCACAGACAAAAAATATGACTCCTTTAGACAAGTCTCACTCACGATTGGATAGTCAGGATGCTCAATGGCAACTTCTCCAACAGCTTTGTCTTTCCTAATCCTAGTAGCAGCCTCACAGAGCCCTGGGAGCCCTGGGGGAAATATTTGAAGTTATTTTAGCATTAAACACAGAACTTGATCATATCAAATATTTAGCATGTTTGGCAAAACAAAACATTTCCCCAACGAAATCTCTCTTTCCACACAATGGTCTCACGGTCCCAGACTCGGAGTCTGTCTGCAAAGTGTGGGAGAGAATTGGTTTTGCAGGTGGTGTTTCTCCTCCTCCACTGGGGAGGGATCTTGGCTCCTGCTGCTCAGAGTGTGGTCCATGGCCCAGCAGCTTCAGCATCATCTGGGACAGATTTGCTTTAGAGCTCACTCCAGAGTCATGGGCTCCCGTGGACCTGGCGGCAGTTGCCCGAGAAACACCCAGAAGAGAGGCAGCACCAGCTCCGACTGCCACTGCGGGACTGACTACGTCCCCTCCGCACTCTCTCCCCTGCCCACAGGGATGTGTTCATCCCTCCCACCTGGAAAATGCAGGAATTGTCCAGGGAAGAGGGAGATCATTCAGGACACAAGCGTCTCCTATTTTAATACATTTTTTAGTAAAATAAAATCTTCTTTATTTTGTACATCTCATGCACATGGTTAATCTAATGGTAACTAGAAATAGCTGGGATAGAAAAAATGTAAAAGTTATAATCCTATATACGTTAATTATATATTTAAACATTGAATCCCAACTAGTAGTTTAACCTGAGCGAGAACTTGAATCTTCACAATCTTATTGTAATATAAGCATATACTAGTACATATGTATTTTTTAAAATATATAAAATGTACTATCATGGGCTATCAAACCTGGAAGCAGTTTCACTGTTGTAGTGCTATGTGCAGATTCTTCCACAAGAGGGCGCGTCAGCTAAATATATTGAAGGGAAGTGAAAAAGGTGTGTTTTCTCCATGATAAAAATACCATTAAAAAAAGAAAAATCAAAAGGCTTTTGAATCTGTACTCATTACTATATATCAGTAAAAAGTAATTTCACATGAAACCATCCAGATATTCACCTGGAGCTTTATAAGGTGGGGAGTCTATGATCAAAGAAAGTCAAAACAAAATAGAATCTTACAGAATTAGTGCTGGAAGGAAACTTTAAAAAAACTTACAAAAGAATTAATTTAGAAGGAGCCTCATCTCAGTCCAGATATTTTTAAAGTAAGAAATCTTAGAAATAGTATTTAAGATTTTACTGAAATTGGAGAAACAAAGGCTTAGAGAACTAATTTGCCCAGGGCCAGACTCCAGGCCCCCAGCCCCAACTCCATGCTTTCTCCCACTATGCTCCAATGTATTAATGCTCTCGATCTCTATCAACATCTACCCATACTTTTCTATCTGTCTAGAGCAGTGGTTGGCAAACCAAGGCTCGCGAGCCACATGCGGCTCTTTGGCCCCTTGAGGGTGGCTCTTCCACAAAATACTGACTTTTGCGCATGGGCCACGAAGTTTCAGTCGCACTGTACGTGCGCGCCCGCACGTGGTATTTTGTGGAAGAGCCACACTGAAGGGGCCAAAGAGCCACATGTGGCTCTTGAGCCGCGGTTTGCCGACCACCGGTCTAGAGTAAATAATCATCCTCCTGATTCTCAGGTCCTGGGAGAGGTCGCCGTAGCTCCTGGCTTTTGGACGGAGCACCGGGTAATCCTGCCGCTTGCGCCAGTGTGGGTGGAACTGGGCTCCTCCTGCCGCAGGCCTCCTGCCTGAAATCATGTCCCATGCTCCCCTGGGGCCTCGCTGTGGCTATTTCTGATTATGTAAATAACTCATTGATTATACTTTCTTATCTTAATTTCTCCATTGGTTTTCTTTAATGATTCCTCTGTACATTATGAATTTGATGATGGCTCTAGTGAGATACAGATATATGTGTATATTTGTATATGTAGATATTTAACTTTTCACAGTCTACTTAGAGTTAACATTGTACCACTGCACATAAAATGTTATGAGCTTTGCAACTGTATAGGTCCATTTCCTACTCCTCACCATCCTTTATGCTATCATTGTCATACCTATTACGTCTGTATAACATTACATATCCCACAATGTCCTTTTTAAAAATATATGTATTTTTTTATTGATTTCAGAAAGGGAGAGGGAGAGAGAAATAAAAAAACATCAATGATGAGAGAGAATTATTGATCGGCTGCCTCCTACATGCCCCCTACTGGGGGTCAAGCCCGCAACCTTGGGCATGTGCCCTGACCAGGAATCAAACCGTGATCTCCTAGTACATAGGTCAACCCTCAACCACTGAGTCACACCAGCTGGGCTAAATGCCCTTTTGTAGGTAAATATTTCCTGTTGCCTACAGATCCATTAAAAAAAGACAAGAAAAGAGAGAAGTTTCCCAAGGACAGGTTTCCAACTTTAACCATGGAAAAGCTTTTATCAATAACAACTGAGGGGAGGCCATCAGTGTACACACAACATGCATCTCCACGTCTGGGGAAGCAATGCTTCAAGGAGTCTCTATTTTAAAGTGGTTCCATTTTATTCCACTTCTGAGGATAAGCAGGCTCGTGGGGGACAGGGCTTTGATACCACAGAGCCTGTCAGGGAGCCTGCCAAACACAACTGAAAATTACCCGCCCACATACTGTTTCTATGAATAGCTTGTGTCACCCACAGTAGATTCAGAAACACAAAGCGAAAGATGATTCTCCCTGCTAGCCCAACAAGCTCATTCAGTCATTCTCGAAAAACGGGTGTGACCTTGACTCAGCATAACGTCTGCCTGGCCCATTCACCTCTCAACAATAAGGTGGAAGAAAAGGCGAGCTAACCAGGGAGCAGCGGCAAAAGCATGAGGAAGAGTCGGTGACAGCCTACCCTTGAAATGATGAGAGCAAGCTGAGCTTCGACTGGGAAAACTCCATCCAGGAAGCACGTCATCAGAAAAGACCTGTAGAGGAGACCTGGAGACCAGGTATTATTCAGTGTCTGTCTGGTCTACCAGCACACAGGCTGTGTGAGGGCAGGAGAAGGGTGTTGGGGTGCATGACAAAGGGGTCACTAGATGTGTGTCCCTAAAAAGGATGATTGGTACCCAGATAAGACAATAGGTACAGAAACAAAGAAAACACGATGGATAAATAGGCAGAGACCTTTGTGCAGAATGAATGATCAAGAGGGTGGCTGAGTGCCCTGCAGACGTGGCTCACTGGTTGAGTATTGACCTATGAACCAGGAGGTCACGGCTCAATTCCTGGTCAGGACACAGGCCCAGGCGGTGGCTCAATCCCCAGGGAGAGGCCTGCAGGAGGCAGCCGATCAACCATTCTCATCATGATGTTTCTCTCTCCCTCTCCCTTCTTGAAATCAATAAAAAATAAATTTTGGGGGGGAAAGAGAGTGGGTGAGTGATCTGCTTGTAATGACACAACGTGAAGCAAAGAACTAGTTCTGATAAAATCAGGTTATGAGAGAGGAAGAGTAAATTGTCTTGGACAGTGGGCCCCGTCACCCCAGCTGCTTGTGAAATCTTGCCTTGGCATTTTATCGATCTCTCATGATCTCAAAGCTGGGTTAAACCGTCAGAGGACAGAAGGTTCTAAGAACCAGAGTGATTCTTCAAGGCATGTGGGCATGTGGGCATGTGAGCGTCAAGCTAACCTTTCAGTGGCAGCCAGAGTCCAAGTCTGGGCTTGTCAGGAAGGTGAGTTCTGCGCAGCATCTCCTGACCTCCTGGCTGTGACTCAGAAAACACAACATCGGATCCCTGAGACACAGCCTTTGCTCTTTATAATCGCACTCCCATCTCATTCACTAACTGGAGTCCCGATGCTCAAAATCTGTGCAAGGGGCCCAGCCCTTCGCAGCCTGGCTTTGTCTGGGAGGTCGTCTGAAGGTTGTCCGGCTGTCCGGTCTAATTAGCATATTACGCTTTTATTATTATAGATGGAAGCATTTGACTTGTGCATTCACCTGTTTCCCCTCCTGGAATTCCATGGGCTCCCTTTAGTCTCTACTTAGCTGCTCAAACAATGAATACTGAGTTGTCACAAAGGAGTATTTATAAATTATGTTATGGTAAAAAGCAGTGGTTCTCAACCTTCCTAATGCCGCAACCCTTTAATACAGTTCCTCATGTGGTGGTGACCCCCAACCATAAAATTATTTTCGTTGCTACTTCATAACTGTAATTTTGCTACTGTTATGAATCGTAATGTAAATATCTGATATGCAGGATGTATTTTCATTGTTACAAATCAAACATAATTAAGACACATGATTAATCACAAAAACAGTATGCAATTATATATGTGTTTTCCGATGGTCTTAGGCGACCCCTGTGAAAGGGTTGTTCAACCCCCAAAGGGGTCGCGACCCACAGGTTGAGAACCGCTGGTACAAAGGATCATGATAAAATGACTATTATTCCTTTGCTCAACCTTTCCTCTTCCCTGTGCTTCATCTTTGAGATCTTCGGCATTTATCACCATATAACAAATACAGCTAATTAGTTCTATTCGTTGTCTATCTTTAAGCACCAGAAATCGTCTTTTCCGTTCACAGCCTTTCCCCTGCACAAGGAGGGCTCTAAATAACAGTTCTTGAATGCGTGTGTGAGCAACCTCACTTGTATCTACCACTCAACTGAAGGAATAAGACTAATCTCCTGCACGACCTTCCTCTATTCCATCCTCTTTCCTCCCCATCAGACGTGGCCATGAGTCTAAACTTGTTTATCACACCCCTGCTTTCCTTTACACTCTGGGTGCTTGAAACGCCACATGTGTTTGTGTCCCTAAAAATAGACTGTTTGGATTTACATCGTTTTTCACTTCCTATCAATGCAATCACACGATGCGCATTCTTCTGCGATTTGCTTTTCTCACCCAACATTGTGTTTTTGAAGCTCATCCGTGTCGTGTGTAGTGTTCTAGGGCATGATCATGCCACAGTGAATTGATCCATGTTGCTGTTTATTGCTATTTGGACAATGTGTCGTTTTGGTGTTACAAAGATCATTGCTATGAACCTTCTTCTGCATGACCCTGTACCATTGTGCCAGTTTTTTCACACTGCATATGTAAGCATGAACTTGCTAGAATGTCAGGTCTTTCATTTTAGCCTTGAGTAGATAGTGTCAAATTCTTTCCAAAGAGACTGCTCCAATTTATATTCCCCTCAGCACTGCCTAAATGAACTGGCTGTTCCACATTCTCCTATAACTCGATGTTATCAGATGTTTACATTTTTGCCAATCTGTTGGCAAAAAAAACAGTCACATGGTTCCAATTTAGCATTTCCTTGATTATCGATGACATTGAGTTTCTTTTCTTTGTTTATTTGGGTTTCTTCCATAAATTATCTCTTCATCATTTTGTTTTGTTTTTTTTAAACTGGGTTGTCTTTCTGTTTCTTATTTGTTAGCATCCCTTACATATTCTGGAAATAAATAACTTGTGAGTTATATGTGTTGCAATATGTTCTCCCAGTTGTGGGACTGAGGGTTTTTTTACTTGATTTGTGTTTTCTTTTCATCAACAGAAATGCTTAATTTTAGTGTAACTGAATATATTTTTTTTCCTTATGATATTTATACAAGGTGTCCCCCCAAATGTATGCACACTTCACAGCTGATGGCTCAGTTGATGTTTCTTTCTTTTCAGATTTAACCCATTGGAATTAATAATTCAAAAGTGTGTATGCATTTTGGGGGGTCACCCTGTCTATATTTATATCTTCACAAAGAAATCCTTCTTAACTCAGAAGTTATAAGGATATTTGATGCTGTCTTCTGATTGTTTACAGTTCCCCTTTCTACACGTGAATCTTTAACCCACCTAGAACTGTAAGGCACCTAGAACTGGCTACACACCAGTTGTCCTCACACTATTTGTTGAAAAGTCCAGTCTGCTCACACTAGTTGGCGCCTGTCAGTTCCATAATGTGTCATTTCTGTATTTGTACGGGTCTGTGTCTGTTGTTCCATTGGTCTCTTGGTCTATCCTTTCACACACTATTTATTATTTTAATGTAATTTTTTATTTTCTTGTGGTCAGAACACTTTACATGAGAGCCACCTTCTTAACAGATTCATGAGTGTGCAGTACAGATGCCTGTCTACAGGCACAATGTCGTACAGCAGGTCTCTAAGCTTATTCATCTTATAACTGAGACTTTACACCCCTTGAGTAACAACACCCCATTTAAAAACACTTTAGTAAGGCTCCGAAACTACCTCCCCAACATAATCAGAATACTTCTCAGGAACCAGAGCTTAATGGAGCAAAACTAGAAGCGTTTTCATTTACACCAGATGAAAAAACAGGGTACTTGTTATTGAATACAATTTAAATTGTGCTGGAAGTGCTAAATAATGCAACAATTCAATACCAAACAGTCTACCAGCTGGGGAGGAGGAGGCAATGTTCCCTTATTTCCAGATGCTATCACTATATTTATGAAAAAAACACTGAAGACCATAAGAGAATTCTGTAAGGTGCTCAATTGTAAAATTTATATGCAAAAATCAACAGATTCCTTTCTCGGGAAACATTTTCATTTGAGAAGACATTATACTCATGAAAACAGTAAAAAAACAATGAATCATTTTTTATCCACTTACAATTAAAATATCATCTTAAAGAAACACACACACACACACACACACACACACACACACACACAATCTCAGTAAGATACAAAATATCTATGAATCCCAATAGTAACTAATAATAATACCTTTTAAGCAGTTAACAGTGCCACCAGTGTTCCAACTGTTTAAAATTATCAGAGACCACGAAAAGAAACTCGTGCTTCACCAAAGAAAAATATCTAAACATCGAAAAACAATATTACGGAAAAAAAAAAACATTGCAAAATATAAAATAAATAAAAAAAGGAAAGGAAACTTTGGACCTTATGTACCGAGCAAATGCCAGGTCTAGCAAAAATAATGCTAGTCCTAGATTACTTACTGATTTAAAAACAAAAACAAAAAAAAACACAAAAAAATAGTAAAATATAAAAACAAATTAATGTTTTATAGACCGTGGGAAAAAGAATTTTCAGCAAAGTACAAAAATTTAAAGCATTCCTTTCTTTAATTTTGTAATTCTTTACTGTGGAATAGCTCAGAATGTCACTTCTTTTTTAAATAACAGAATTGATAACTGATCAAGGAAATGTAATTTGGATTATAAAATACTTGCTTTAATAAAAATTCCTCATGGGAAAACATATTTGCCAATGTCATATCTGATAAGGGCCTAATCTCCAAAATTTATAGGGAACTCATACAACTTAACAAAAGGAAGATAAACAATCCAATCAAAAAATGGGCAAAGGACCTAAATAGACATCTTTCAAAAGAGGACATTCAGAAAGCCAACAGACATATGAAAACATGCTCAAAGTCACTAATCATCCAAGAGATGCAAATCAAAACAACAATGAGGTGCCATCTCACACCTGTCAGATTGGCTATCATCAACAAATCAACAAACGACAAGTGCTGGAGAGGATGTGGAGAAAAAGGAACACTCGTGCACTGCTGGTGGGAATGCAGACTGGTGCAGCCACTATGGAAGACAGTATGGAGTTTCCTCAAAAAACTACAAATGGAACTCCCATTTGACCCTGTGATCCCACTTCTAGGAATATATCCCAAGAAACCAGGAACACCAATCAGAAAGGATATATGCACCCATATGTTCATAGCAGCACAATTCACCATAGCTAAGATCTGGACACAGCCTAAGTGCCCATCAGTAGATGAATGGATTAGAAAACTGTGGTACATCTACACGATGGAATACTATGCTGCTGTAAAAAAGAAGGAACTCTTACCATTTGCAACAGCATGGATGGAAATGGAGAGCATTATGCTAAGTAAAATAAGCCAGTCAATGAAGGAAAAATACCACACGATCTCACTCATTCATGGATAATAGAGACCATTATAAACTTTTGAACAATAATAGATACAGAGGCAGAGCTGCCTCAAACAGATTGTCAAACTGCAGCGGGAAGGCCAGGGAGGGTTGGGGGGCAGGATGGAGGGGGGTAAGAGATCAACCGAAAGACTTGTATGCATGCATATAAGCATAACCAATGGACATAAGACACTGGGGGGTGGGGGAGGCCAGGGGACTGTCAAGGGCGGGGGGAAAAAAGGGACACATATGTAATACCCTTTGTAATACTGTAAGCAATAAATAAATAAATAAATAAATAAATATAAAAATAAAAAATAAAATAAAATAAAAAAATAAAAATTCCTTAAACAGTAAAAAAAAAAAAAAGAGAGGGATTTTTTACACTATCACTTAATCCTCAAACCAAAATATGGGTAGAAGTTGTTGTTATAAGCATTTTGTAATTGAAACACCTGAGCTTCTAAAAAATTCCATAGCTCCCCAAGGTCATTCACAGAACACAGCAGAGTCAGGGTTTGAACCAAAGTTTGTGATCTTAACCACTAAGCAAGACTACCACTCCTGCCTCTACAAAGAAGACTGTAGGCCTCTACTGAGGAATTTGTAAGAACACCCCACTCAATAGAGACAGGGTTTGAAGTGGATAACTGTGTATCATAAAGGATGTCTGTTCTTGTCTATATATATAAAAGCCAAGCGACCAGAACAACTGGAATGACGGGTCGCTATGACGAGCACTGTGGCCAGCCAACCAGCCTGATGTGGACAGGGCCAGCTGGCCAACCTCCCATGGCCCCTCCCCTTGGCTGGCCCAGGCCCCAATCAGCCCTGATAGGGGCAGGCTGGCCAGACCACACCGGTGCACAAATTCGTGCACTGGGCCTCTAGTCAGTTTATATTTGAATGCAATGCAAACCCAATAAAATGCTGACAATTTTTTTAGGTAACAACTTTATTCATATCAGGATTTTTTTCCTTAATTCACTATATTATTCTAATGTCTGGAAGTCTAAACATGGAAATTCATTAAAAAAGAGGATAACTTGCCCTAGCTGATATTAAGATATACTATAAAGTGTCACAGTCACTAGGAATAAAATAGGCCAGGTTCTCAGCCTGGGCAGTTTGCCCCTTAAAGATATTCTGCAAAATCTGGTAACATTTTTGATCATTACTGAGGATGGGATTCTCTGGCACCTAGTGGTTGAGGTCAGGGATGTTGTTAAACAACTTACATTTCCCCCTCCACCCTCCCCCCTCCAAAAAAAAATAAAAAAAAATCTCACAGTGCCCTAAACAACCCCTTACTCCCAACCCTGGCAATTATTGGGCCCCAAATAAAGAATGGCCATGCCCCCAAATGTCAATAGTGCCAAGGTTGAGAAACTAAAATAGGCAAATAAATACAACAGAGTAGAGAGGTGTCCTCAAACCTCCTTCCCTACACCAACTCTGACATTGCCTAAACATTAAAAACAGCTCCACAGCATAAAAACAAAGACAAGATATAAACCATAACCTGGGGGGAATATTTGCAATATATATGTCAGACCAAAAAAAAAAAAAAAAAATCCCTGATATACAAAGAGTTTTTACAAATCAATAAGGAAACGACAACCCATACAGATAATATAGGCAAGGCACACAAACAGAGTAGTCAGAAATTAAAAACATACATAAAATATAATAATACAAAGTGAAAATTATATGTAGACTACATGTATCAAATGTAATAATAAAACATAATAATAAAATGCAGATTAAAATGAGATACTGTCCAGCCGGCATAGCTCAGTGGTTGAACACTGACCTATGACCCAGGAGGTCACGGTTCGATTCCTGGTCAGAGCACATGCCTGGGTTGCGGGCTCCATCCCCAGTGGGGGACGAGCAGGAGGCAGCCAATCAATGATTCTCTCTCATCATGGATGTTTCCAGCTCTCTCCCTCTCCCTCCCTCTCTGAAATCAATAGAAACATATGAAAAAATAAATAAAATGAGCTATTATTTTGACAAGAAAAACACACAAAGCCTGCAAATACTGAGGCACCGCCTTTTGAGTCAGACAGCCTGGGAAGGGCCCTTGGGGTCCTCTGTTACTGGCAGTAATAAGTACGACTAGCGACGAAAGCTTCTATTCTCCCATCTCAGAGGAAAGCTGCAAAGGGCGCCCACCGCAGCTGTGGCTACCTAATGAATAGTCTCAATTTATGTTGACCAAGTGCCGGATAAACAGCATTCTTTCATATACACTGGCCTTGTTTGACTGTATAAATCTGTACAAATCCAATCTTCCTCGTGCAAATCCACTAGAGGCAATCTCGGGAAATTTTATTAGCTGTAATGATTTATTCAGGCCTCTTGAGTGCCATTTATTTCCCAGTAGAAATGTTTAGAGTATTTCAGTATTTCATTATTCACTGATTTTTCCCCTAAAGTCCATTAAAAGTTAAAGAAAAAAATTATATATGTATCTCCTACTGGGCTACAAATATCCCTAATGGTTTGGGCAGTGCTTAAGAATATCTCTGTAGAAATAATATTTGTACATAACCCTAATATCTTAAAAGAAGCTCTTCTATAAAAGGGAAAAAAAATTCCCTTTACACTTGCTGTTTCTAAATTAACTTAACTTCATGATTTGGTAGAGCACGCAAATATAAAGGTTGTCATTTATTGTGCCAATGGGAATTGTGATTCCCGGGCAGCGTGAGGTCAGGTGAAACCCCAAATTCCGGTATAGACTGACCCAGTGCTGCCTGGTCCCCAGACACCATTTCTGGGAAGCTCAAGTTGCCTGGTGGGCCGGTTCATGGAAGGCATTCCATCCCGCAGATGGGCTGCTTGGACTTGCCACCGAAACCCGCCCTTCAGTCGCACATCACACATGGAAAGAGTCCAGCCATGGTCACCACTTGCCCAGCGCCGGGCCCACAGTCACAGATGCCCGGGAGGGAAGGTGTTCTGAGCCCAGGGACTCTAAGGCCTGTGAGTTGTGTGAAAGGAGGACCCAGAAACAAAAGCCTTGGGGGAAGAAGGCAGTTACTTGTAAAGTGGGTACAAGGAAGTCATTCTTCAGGGTTACCGGTTTGTTAAACAAAATACCCAAGGGATTTGAAAGAAAACACACGCAGGAGAGCACCAAGGCTGTCAGGTTTACCTTGAGTCTGTTCATGGCGAGCCTCGTTATAAAATGGGGACCTGTCTTTGGCCAACAGCTCCGCAAAGGTGAAGGGTAAGATTAACTTACAGAGCTGCCCCACATCTCCCACTGGTTCCCCGACTTCCTTGGAGAAGGAGTTCCAAGTCCCTTACCAGGTCTCACAAGCTGGTCTCCGTGCTCACTGACGTCACATCATCTTACCTCCCGCCTCGCACTCGGGTCCAGCCACCTGGCCCCAGCTGTTCTTCAAACACAACCACGCATGCTCCTCCCTTAGACAAATGTTTGTTGAACGAATGAATCAGGAGGAGTTTGGGCGTCTGAGAAACAAGGAATTACAGATAAACCAACAGCTGTCCCTTTGTCTTTCCCTATGGACCCCAGGGAGTGGGCAGTGACAAGATTCCCAGAATGGTGCTCGGCAGAGAGGTGGAATTGTCCCAAGACCCTGGGGACGCAGGGCCCACAGCCTCTCAGCTCTGCTCTCACCTCCTTTTTTCTCAAAAAGAAGCATCATCTCCTGCCTCCTCACACCTGGGGCACACACAGCCTCATCTCCTGCCTCCCCACACCTGGGACACACACAGGCTCAATCCCCAGTGTGGGGCGTGCAGGAGGCAGCCAATCAATGATTCTCTGTCATTATTGATGTTTCTATCTCTCTATCTCTCTTCCTTCCTCTCTGAAATCAATGGGGGGGGGGGGGAGCCACAAGAATGTCAGAAACTTTGTGCCACCTTTGGAACAGTGTTTATGTACTAGCGTCCCGAAGGAAAATGGAAGACCTCTTGCTGTTCAATTCGTTCTTCTCATCCCGCCAGGTTCATCTGACCCAGAGCTGGTGTGAAGTTTATTCTGTTATTCTGTGTTAGGAGGACTGCTACCATTGTCATCTCTGATTTTCCATCTCAGAGAATAACGTAGGAGCCACTGATCCTTTGGAGTGAAATTGGGGACAAAACAAACAGAAGTAGCAAGAAATTATGCAAATGATGCAGGCCATTAAAGAGTAAAACCCACGAGTGAAGTGAGAATCTGAG